TTTTTATTCACAAGTGGAAGAGCTGCTTTTGAATCCAAACTTCTCTGACTTCAGTGTCTGTATTCTTTAAACTTGACAGCATCAGCCATCAGTGAGACTGACAATATCATACATACAAAATTAAACAACCCACAAACATTTGATGACAGGATATCAAAGTATAAGACCATTGCATAGCATAAACTTTATGGGATTCTTCCATTTGGGTAGAGAAACCAGCTGGATCTCATCTTCACTACTGGGCAAAGAGGTTCTTAATTGCTTGTGCTGCTGTTATTATTTTGTCTAGCAAGTTTCCTCTCTCTTAGTGAAAGACCCTGTCTTCTTGGCCTTGAGGGCTGGCAGATGACCCAGCCTGGGCAATCATAGCACCTCACTTTTACTGGACAGGGTGAATTGTACAAAGAGCATGTGATGCGAGTTGGAGACACACAGTGGTGTGATAGCCTAGACCACATACAATTACCTCTTTCTGGGTACCTCTTTCTTAATAAAATGTGGTGGAGACCTCTATCTGTTATCCCATATTCATTCTCCTCCTCTTCATTTAGCAACAGAACCCTTGAACCTATGTTTTACAGCCTATTTTATTATTATTATTATTTTGAGACAGAATCTTGCTCTGTTGCCTGGGCTAGAGTGCCGTGGCATCAGCCTACGTCACAGCAACCTCAGACTCCTGGGCTCAAGCGATCCTTCTGCCTCAGCCTCCCAAGTAGCTGGGACTACAGGCATGGGCCACCCATGCCTGGCTAATTTTTTCTATATGGTTTTAGTTGGCCAATTAATTTCTTTCTATTTTTAGTAGAGATGGGTCTCACTCTTGCTCAGGCTGGCCTCGAACTCCAGACCTTGATCGATCCGCCCGCCTTGGCCTCCCAGAGTGCTAGGATTACAGGTGTGAGCCACCTCGCCCGGCCAACAGCCTATTTTACAGATAAATATAATATAACCATGAGACTCTTTGGGGCCAGTGGGATGTGAGTGAAATTGTTGAATGGCATTTCTATGATTTGACTTTAAACCATTAGACATGTGCTTTACCATTTTCTTTTCCCTATTTCTGCAGGCTAGAAAGCAGATGTGGCAGTGACTCAGTTTAAATCCTGCAGATGAGGACATTTTAGAAGATGGTAGACCAACAAACTAGAAAGAACATGTGGTCCCTTTTTGATCTTGTGCCCACCCATCTAGAAAATCCTCTGAGATAATTCCCAAGTCCTTATAATTTTGTGAACAAAAAGTGGGTGCAGGAAGAAGACTATTCTTCCTCTACCTTTCTCATCTCTCTTAGGAATGGCCTTGGAGGATATTAATTAGGAGACATTCTCTTAGCAGGCAGATCAGTTTGACTGAACATGAGATCCATTCCACTAACTGGAGTATGAATTTTTGCTGTCCTTGTCCAGTAACCATTGTAAATGGTCTTCCTTTTTAAAAATGGGATGGAGATTTTCCTCCACTGTTGACTGGGGTTGTTTTCATTTACACTTTAGCCATTGGTAATAGGACCATGAAGACCTGACCAAGCAGAGCACACATCATCCAGAGATCCTTGGGTTTGGTGACTAGATGTGACTTTTGTTTTTCTTTGGGTACAAGATGAGCCTATTTAAATTTTAAAGGGGATAATTACTGGTAGTGGCATTGTTGGAATCTGGGAAGAAGGGTATGTATGGATGCTGAGAAGCTAATGGGTAGTTTGTGGTATATGATGGGTATTGTTTTTATTTGGTCAATAAACATTTCTATCTCCATTTTTCTAGTCATAGGTCCTATCTCCCTGCCTACAGGAGTGGAAATACATGACCCATGTCTGGCCAGTAATATTTCTTACCCCTTTGGAAATTAATTGGCTCAGAAAAAGGCATGTGATACAAGCAGGGTAAATCAGAGGTATTCCCTGGGATTGATATATTGATCCTTCCATTTCTGCTTGATTTGTTAATATGAGGGGATAATTGGGAATGTGTGCAGAACTGACCACGTGGAGAGAAGCTTCTTGAAGAATGATGCCAAACAGAGAATTAGAGATGAGAGACAAAGGGAAAAAGTCCTGCTAGTGATGAGTCCTGGGTTTTGGTCCCTGAATCCCTTATTCTTGCAGCTCTTCCCTTTTTCCTGTGAGTTTTATCCCACCTTTACCTGCAGCTAGATGAATCATTAAATTACCTTCTTTACTGAAGTTAGTATAAGTTTAATTTCTGTTTTGTTTTGACATTGAAAGGATCCTGACTAAAAAGTCTTCTACTATGGCCACAGTTAACATCATCTCCTTTAAGGGGTTTCCACAGTTCAAATAGTATCTAGTCAAAAGAAAGAAGAGATCATGATACACTGGGAAAGAAATAGATTTTTACAGTGAAGTTACTCACTAGAAACACTGTATATGGATGTGGTGTTAGATTGCAGTGTCAATGCATAAAACAAAACCTATTTAGATTCTGCCATAAAAAGGAATGAAGTACTGATTCATATTACAATATGGGTGAATCTTGAAAACATTTTGCTAAGTTAAAGAAGCCAGACACACAGGCCATATATTGTATATTCCACTTATATAAAATGTCCAGAATTGGTAAGTTTGTATAGATAGAAAGTAGGTTAGTGATTTGCAGGGGTTGAGAGGTGTCAAGTAACTGCAAATAGGTACCAGGATTCTTTTTAGGGTGATGAAGATGTTCTGGAATTAGATAACAGTAATGGTTGCACGAGTTTCTGAATATACTAAAACCCACTGAATTGTACACTTATTTAAAGGGTGAATTTTATGGTATGTGAATTATATCCCAAAAAATCCATTTAGGCTAAATTACCCTTGAAAGCCCTTCTCAAAGAGTCTAAACAGCTAGTTTTACTTTCAACAAAAATAAATTGCCTGCCAGGCGCCAGGCGCAGAGGCTCATGCCTGAAATCCTAGCACTCTGGGAGGCCGAGGTGGGCGGATTGCTCAAGGTCAGGAGTTCCAAACCAGCCTTAGCAAGAGCTAGACCCCGTCTCTACTATAAATAGAAAGAAATTAATTGGCTAACTAATATGTATAGAAAAAATTAGCCGGGCATGGTGGCACCTGCCTGTAGTCCCAGCTACTCAGGAGGCTGAGGCAGGAGGATCGCTTGAGCCCAGGAGTTTGAGGTTGCTGTGAGCTAGGCTGACGCCACAGCATTCACTCTAGTCTGGGCAACAAAGTGAGACTCTGTCTCAAATAAATAAATAAAATAAATTTACTTTTTAGTTGAGTATCAGATACAGTAGTATATGTGCATTTAGGAATCCTGTAACAAAAAGAAATAAATCTTGTAACTTGAGTCACACTCAATTATAACATATTCTCACATTATAAAGGGTAAGGGACTAAGATCAGAAACATTCAAAAGGGGATTATGTATACCCCTGGGGATACAAGAATAATTTCCAAGAGGTGTTCAAGCATAGACAGCTTTAAGGAAATGAATTTCCAGATCCTTAACTTGTACGTGCTATTTTTTCTAACTTACTCTGTGGCCAAGGCATTGTATCATTATGTCCTATTGTCATTTCCTACTTCCTATTTCTTCATTTACATTAGAGAGGCATACGTCTCAGCTGTCATAAATTCTTACCATGATAAAAACCTCAGTGTGCCAAAAAATCGTACAATTTGAGACACTAATGCTAGGGAAACCTCCTTTAATTAACACACCATAAAACCATGATAAGAGTAGTGCATTTTTCACCAGGCACAGTGGCTCATTTTTGTAATCTCAACACTTTGGTAGGCGATTTGGGAGGATTGCTTGAGGCTAGGAGTTCAAGACCAGTTTGGGCAACATAGGGAGCTCCTGTCTCTAAAAGAAAAAGAAAAAGAAAACCCTGTAATCCCAGCACTGTGGGAGGCCGAGGGGAGAGGATCACTTGAGCTCAGGAGTTCAAGACCAGCCTGAGCAAGAGCAAGACCCTGTCTTTACCAAAAATATAAAAAATTAGTCAGTGTGGTGGTGCATGCCTGTATTCCCAGTTACTCGGGAGGCTGAGGTAGGCGGATCACTTGAGCCCAGGAGTTGGAGGTTGCAGTGAGCTACCATGACGCTAATGCACTCTGCACAGAGCAACAGAGTGAGACTCTCTTTCAAAAGAAAAAACAAAATAAGGAAAAGTAAATAAGCAGATAAAGAAACTTATAGAGCATTTTTCTTTGCCTATATTTTAAATTTCTGGCATATAATTCAGAAGGAACGCAAACAACTGAGTGTCATACTAGTAAAATTCTTTCTATTCACTTCTACTTTATAGGAACAATTTATAAAAATAAAAACTGGGAATGGAAACCAGTTCAGGACTCCACACAGTACATAAATACTGCCTTCCCGTATCTCCACCCCTATGAAGTAAACACCCTAGCAGAGTGGACAAAGGAAGAGGCTGCGGACGAACAACGCGGACGCCTGCAGGCACCCCCGTTCCTTGCTATTAACAAAAATGCAGCAGCGCAGGAGTTCCCCCTACATTCGTGTTAGTTGCAACCCCCACAACAGCATACGTTCTGTTCACTGGTTGAGTCCGCATAAGTGGCACTGCGTTTCTAAAAGCACAGCTGTGTTCAAAAGATACATGGACTGTTCAGGTCAATCTGAGCGAAACCCCCAAGCACCTGGCAGGCAGCACTTTCTTCCGTGGGCAGGTGTCCTTTGCCGCTCCATCAGCAGCGTGGGAAAAGCGGAACGAATGGGCAGGAAGCAGTGCCAACAGCCACATCAGTTGTCCACGGCAGCCACGGAGCGTCTTTGGGGCGCGTAATAGGCCTGGCCTACGTGGAAAGCGAGCGGGCACCTCTGTCACTGTGACAGCACCTATCTCCAGTGCCCGTCTGCCCGCTTGCGGGTAGCACCTGGCTCTGCTTTGCCAAGTAAGAGCGTGAGAACCGGGCACAGCCCGCAGTCGCTAACCTCCCTCGCCTGGCTCCGCCCACAGCGCTCGTAGCCCCTCCCCAACCCCGCCCAGTTGGAGGGCACTCGCACACCACTTCCGGTTCCAGCCTCCAAACCGGCTTCCGTCGCTCCCGACTTCCCTTTCCTCAGCTCTCTTCCCCCGGCCCTACCTCCTCCTTTAACACAGTCACGTGAGGGGCGCGCGCGGGGGCTGCCGGGAGTAGTACTGCCGGTCGGTCAGAGTTCGGCCTCAACATGGCGGTTCCGGTCAGGCAGTGACCAAGGATTTGCCGTCCGAAGGGCTAAGTGGCGAGTGTCGCCGTCTCCACCTATCAGGGTGGAATGCGAGGACGCGGGGGCGAGCGCTGAGGAGCGGCGGTGACAGGGAGGGGGTCTGTGCTGTGTGCCCTGGGAGCTGAGGCGGCGGCGTCTGTTCCTTCTACTCGTCTCTAGGCTCCAGTGCGGGGCCCCGCCCGGCCGGTCTAGGCCGGCGGGCGGCGGCGGTAGCTGCTGCAGCCGCACGGTCAACTCTGAGAGTGGGTCGGAGGGCGGGCACCGCCGCTGCCTCTGCCGCGGCGATGGCCCAGTGTGTACAATCAGTGCAGGAGCTAATCCCAGACTCCTTCGTCCCCTGTGTCGCCGCGCTGTGCAGCGACGAAGCCGAGCGGCTCACTCGTCTCAATCACCTCAGCTTCGCGGAGCTGCTTAAGCCCTTCTCTCGTCTCACTTCCGAGGGTATGTGATGTCCTTTTTTTTTCACTGGGCTCCCTCAAAGCCGTGGCCGGGAGAAGGAAGTTGCGGGCGGGCAGGGGCGAGAAGGGCGGTGTTTACGTCCCGGAGCCGGTAGAGTGGCGTCTGGGACTGTGGCCACTCCGGTGGCGGCTGGAGGAGGGGCCCTGACTGAGGTTGTCAAGACGGAGCGGTCTAAACCTCTGGTTTCTCTAGGCATTCACGTTTTTCCTCGGACAAGCCAGGTCGTTAAGTAATTCGTATAAAGAAAAAGGCGAGTCCCGAAAAAGGGAGTTGAGACTGTTCTCAACAGCCACAGGGAAGGAATTAGGCAGTTGCAAGGCTGGTTGGTAGGAAGATGCTGCCTCTTCCTAGTCGACGAGGTCTAAGAATAAGGAAGACCTGTCATCTTCCCCTAGGTGTTAAACTGAACTTTCAAAGTTCTCTTAAATATTACATAATTCTAACGTTGAGGCTCATCTCTGTCTAAATTTCTGTTTCAGCTATTTTAGGTGCGCAGTATTTTGCAAAACCTAGGTATTTGGAATTATCTAGATTTATAGGGATGGAAAAGTTTTAAAATTTGGTTTCTCGGGAATTTAATCAGAGAAATGTGTCTTTTATTGAGGAACTACATGTTTCCTCCAGCTTTTAATTTTTTATTAAGGAAAAATAAACGTAATAGAACTTGAAGTATGGTTTAGTCAATGTCTTGTAAACATAGCAAAGTACAAGTAAAGTTTTTTGTTAAGGTCTGTATAAAGTGAGGGATTCTCTTATAAACCTGTGTTAAGCAAAACGACTGTGATGTTTATTTGGTTATGATGACTTCTTCACAAAAATATCAGTGCTGTACCATAAATTCATGTATTTACATGCCACAGGTGTTCTTTGGGAGACTAGCTCCATTACAGATTTGCTTTTTTATTTAAAGAGAGGGAGCTGTCCAAAAAACCCAAAATTTGGAAACTCTTGGTTTTCTTCAGTCTCAGCCTGTACCTTAGCGATCAGTCCAGTGCTGTATCAACAAGAACAAAAAGTTCCCTATATTCTTGTTCTTTTTTAGAGACAGGGTCTTACTCTGTCACCCAGGGTGGAGTGCAGTGGCCTGATGATAGCTCACTGTAACCTTGAAAAGCCTTCTGAGTAGCTGGTACTATAGGCATGTACCACCATGCCTGGCTAACTTTTAAATTTTTTGTAGAGTCTCAGTATGTTGTTCAGGCTAGTCTGGAACACCTGGCCTCAAGAGATCTGGCCTTGGTCTACTGAGTGCTGGAATTACAGGTGTGAGCCACGTATCAGGCCTCCATTCTTAAATTCTTTTTTAAAAAACCGAAACAACCAAACACTGAAGAGCCAGTTGACTTTGATGTGTGTGCTCATTCTTGCTTTGTTAATAAAGAATAATAGGTCAGGTGCAGTGGCCAAATTTCTGATGCTACCACCCTAGTTCATGTCTTAATCATCTTAAACTTTAAAATTTACATCAACTCCTATTTATGCTTACAAACCACAAAACTCATTAATTTCCCCAAATTTCATACTGCTCAGAAATCTGACTACCTCACATTTACCATTAAGTATGAAATCCAAAATCCCCTTCCTAGAATTCAGGGTCCTTCATTATCCAGGCGTTACTATTCCATGCCCCATTAGGGAGAGTTTTCCTGACCCCCCAACCACTCAAATCATAATTTATACCTTTTGCGTATACAATTCTAACTGTATCCCTCTCTTCAATAGGGAATGATCACCCTCTTTCTACCAGCTGTCTACCTTTCCAGTAATGGCCAGCTCATTATACTCCTTCCCTAAATGTTATCCACTATGCAGAGGAAAATTAGAAATGTACTGGTAATGAGCCTATGCTGTCCAGTACAGTAGACATCAATTACTTGTGGCTATTGAGCAATTTAAATATTTCTAGTCCAAATTGAAATATAAGTGTAAAATGCACACAAATTTCAAAGACTTAGCAATAAAAAAGAATGAAAAGTATATCATTAATATTTTTATATTGATTACATATTGAAATGGTAAAATTTTGGAAATACTGGCTTAAATAACATTAAACATTTCGTTTGTAAATTAGCCGGGCATGGTGGTGCATGTCTGTAGTCCCAGCTACTTGGGAGGGAGAGGCAGAAGGATTGCTTGAACCCAGGAGTTTGAGGTTGCTGTGAGCTAGGCTGATGCCATGGCACTCCAGCTTGGGCAACATATAGACTCTGTCTCCAAAAAAAAACAAAACAACATTTCACTTGTTTCTTTTTACATTTTTAATGTGGCTACTAAAAATTCTTAATTATACATGTGATTTACATTCTGTTTCTTTTGGGTATCACTGCTCTCTAGTGTAAATAAGTAATTCTAAATACTGTCAGGAGATAAGATGACTTAGTGATTAAGAACACAATGTCTTAAGTCACATTGCCTGTTTTTAAATTTTCCCCAGATAAAAGACTGTAGACAAGTTAACATTTATATGCCTCAATGTCCTCAAATTTAAAATGACCCTAATATAGGATTTAATAAACACTGAAAGAGAAAAGCTAGGTTGGGCTATGCCTGTAATCCCAGCACTTTGGGAGGCCAGGGTGGGAGGATCACTTGAGTCCAGGAGTTAAGACCAGCCTGGACAGCATAGCAAACCTCTGTCTCTACAAAAAATAGAAAAAATTAGCCCAGCATGGTAATGCGCTTCTGTAGTCCCAGCTCTAAGAATAGGTGGGAGGATCGCCCAGGAGTTCCAGGCTGCAGTGAGCTGTGATTAGGCCACTGCACTCCAGTCTGGGCCACAGAGTGAGACCTTGTCTCCAAAAATAGATGAATGAGTGCATAAGATGTAAAGCAGGTAGTAGTATTGGGTGTTAGCATTATTATTCTTTTTTGAGGGGGCAGGGTCTTGCTCTGTTGCTCAGAGTGTAGTGCAGTGGTGTCATCATAGCTCACTCAATTTAGTTTTTGCTAGTAAATACATTTTGGGGTTCTTTACAGAGATAGCTTTTCTTCACACAGTGAGGCATGAGCATATCACTTCAGGCAATGTAATTTAAGAATATGATTAACTAAAACAAACTAAAAATTTCCTTAGAAGGAGAAAGGAATGTTAAAAAATGACTGGACTCCATTTCTGGCTTGCAGGTATGCTGTTAGTTTTGGATAAAAATTTACCTTACTATTGCGATATCTAGTGTCAAGTATAGTACCAAGTATTTTCAGAAGACTTATTAGTAGGTTTCAGTAGAAAAATGCATGATTTAAACCTATACTGAAGAGGGGGAGGGGTGGAAGAACAAATTTAAGTACTATTCATGTGTAGGGCCTTGAAAATAGAGTTTAGGCAATAGAGTTTGATGTATTAGGCAATTTTAGGTTCCTTAGAAACATTTTTAAAACCTGAAAAGTATTTATTACATTATGTTTAAAATGGTTATTATATATATTTTGATTGTTATACTTGATATATGTTGGAGACTTATCATATTCATTATTTGATACAAATTTTGTGATCCTAATGCTTCTTTTTTTTTTTTTTTTTTTTGAGACAGAGTCTCACTCTCTTGCCCAGGCTAGCGTGCCGTGGCATCAGCCTAGCTCACAGCAACCTCAAACTCCTAGGCTTAAGTCATCATCCTGCCTCAGCCTCCCAAGTAGCTGGGACTACAGGCATGCACCACCATGCCCAGCTAATTTTTTCCATATTTTTAGTTGTCCAGCTAATTTATTTCTATTTTTAGTAGAGATGGGGTCTCACTCTTGCTCAGGCTGGTCTCGAACTCCTGAGTTCAAACGATCCTCCCGATTCGGCCTCCCAGAGTGCTAGGATTACAGGTATGAGCCACCGTGCTGGCCTCTAATACTTCTTGAAGAATTTCCATTGGCTGTTTATTTCAAAGAGTAGTGGTGGTGTTATTAATGTATCAAGCTGTATTTTTTTTTTGCTTAGTGATAGTTATTTGATAATTCTAAACCGTGTTTCAACATATCGATTAGACGTTTTATAAGTTTCAAGAAAATTTCACCAGGCGAGGCGGCTCACGCCTATAATCCAGGCACTTTGGGAGGCCAAGGCTGGAGGATTGAGCTCAGGAGTTCCAGACCAGCCTGAGCAAGAGCAAGACTCTGTCTCTACTACAAATAGGAAAATAGCCAAGTGTAGTGGCGCACGCCTGTAATCCCAGCTACTTGGGTGGCTGAGGCAGGAGGATCGCTTGAGCCTAGGAGTTTGAGGTTGTAGTGAGCTATAATTATGCCACTGCATTCTTCCCAGGGTTATAGAGCGAGACTGTCTAAAAAAAGAAAATTTCACTTGCATACTAATTGTTAAGAGTATGTGGCATATATATTATTGTTATTTTGAAACTGATTAAGTTTATTTAAGAAATTAAAAGGATAAGAAGAGAATGGGATTTTTATGTAACTCTTGCATAGTTTCTATTGAACTGGAAACACTGGCAAATTAGATTAGGAAATATCCTTTGAAGGACACTTAATGCCTTTAGTTTTCTTAATTTCTTTTGGTAGAAATATTTCATCAATCTTAATTCCATGTTGGTGTAAGTATATAATTAATCTCCAGGGTTTTCAAGTACTAAACTTTGAATAAAATTCAAGTCAATTTTTCAAAATTTAGACATACATGTTTGTGTTATTTTTATGCAAGTTATGATTTTTACAGCAGTTGAGGGTTTTTTTATATAGTAAAGTTTTGTATGCTAATGAAAAGCATAAAAGATAATCATTATTTTCAAAATACATTTCATAGAGCACTAGATGTATTAGATACTTCCTGAAAAATATTCACACTCTGAGTGAATATTCACACTTAAGAATGTGAATACCAGGAAATAGGAATTGTTGGGGACCATTTCAGAGGCTGGGTACCACACCTAATAACTCATTTCTGAATTTATAAGTAGGATTACCTAATAACTAATAAACTCACCCTGAATATTGGGCAAAACTAGAATATCCTTTTGTATTAACACTTAATAACACTCAAAGGTTATTAGCCAAAGGGAGGTTTAATACATACACATCTGCTTACATTATTTGACAGTTATTACCAGCTTTAAGGAAAATACTTGTGCAATATGTTCCTAAAGATAACAGAAATGTACCATAATATTGTCTTTTTTTTTTTTTTTTGGTTTCTCTGTTACATAATTAGACCAGCTGGGAAGTTTAACTATAGAGAGAGGCATGTGTGTTTATTTAAATTAGAAAACATAACAATTACAGAAGAATGCAGAGAATACAAGAAACATCTAGCTCTCCACTACCCAGAACTAACAAATAATAACCCTCTGTCTCATTTGCTTTCTATCATTTTCTTTTAAAAGTTTGATTTAAAAGAAATCAAACATAGATATGGTTGAAGTTTCCTTTCTACCTTTCCTTAGTTCAATTTCTTTCCTTCCTTCATGTGGGCAGCCACTGTGATGAAATTTACATGTCTACTTTCTGTACATAATTTATATTGACAAGTGTACATATTTATGCTACAAATACTTTTAAAAATACAGTATTTTTTTTTTTTTTAAAATACAGTATTTTTAAAATATGTCTGAGACTTAGGTTTTTTAATTAAAAATTTTAGAAGTCAGAGTACACATAAGAAATTGGAAAGTCTTTTTGGATATGACTTTACTTAAAATATAGGTAGGTCTGAATTTTGATATCAGGCGTTTTCCATTGAAAACAAAATATAATTTTTTTGTGGGTAGATACCCAAAACCAATTATCCAAAGTTGCCTTTTATTTATTATATATTATGACCCATGATGCAGTTGGAGTAGTTGTACCTGCTGCTGCTAATACCCTTCCATCATTTACTGTCAAATGTGGTGCTCAGTGCTTTACACTTACAGTATCTCACCTAAGTCCTTAAAATAACCCTGTGAAGTAGGTATTAATCACATTTTATAGATGAGGAATTTGAAACAGAAAAGTTAAAAAGTTGTTCAGGATAACCCAATTGAAAAACGATGGGTTGGGATTTAAATTAAGGTTTGACTCCAGAATCTGGGCCCTTCATTATAATGGCCTGCTTTTAATACTACTGTGGAAATTAATCATCTTGTCTGATTATATTAAATGAAAAAATGTATGCTCACATTTCCTATAGCAGACTATAGGCATTGTCTTCTTGCTATCATCACCTCAGAACCTATTCCCTGTCCTGAAGCTCTGAAGTACTGGTTATAAATCTCAGATTGAAGCAAGGACTATAGCAGGGTAGAAGAAGGAGATACTGGGGTACGAGAAGAGATCTGGGTGTTGATTTTTTTTTTCTGATTGAATTGATTTTTTTTTAAGTACATTATTTTTAAGACCAGTTTTAGCCTCATAGCAAAACTGAATAGAAAGTACAGAGAGTTCCCACATACCTTATACCCCTAACAGATGCACAGCATCCCCCTCTGTCAACATCCCATACCAGAATGGGCATTGATTTTTATGATAGTGAAATAGAGGCTTGGAGTGCAAGCGGGTGGAAGCCCACCTGCAGCATTTAATTCCCCTTTCTTTCCCTTTACTGTTTTTAGTCTTGACACCACAGACCTTATGCTGTTGTGGACCAGCCTTAGTGTGAGGTGAGAATTAGATATTAGGTATGGATGGTGATTGATTCTGGAAACTCCAAACATAGGAGAAAGGACTTCAGTAGGGAAATTCTGAGCAGTAGCATTGGGTGAGAGAAAGGAATCTTACAGTTTATACATTGTCTAGCTAGCCCTTTGGAATATGAGGGAATGTTGTAAACCAGTTATATTTCTGGAAGAATGTTCCATTTGGAATTTCTGGTTTCTGATGTGAGCATCCTTTTTGTTTATAAACCATTAACCCAATTTTGGGTTATGATGCATTTTATAGAATTAACTTCAAGTTTTTTCTTTTCTTTTTCTTTTTTTTTTTTTTTACAGTTCATATGAGAGATCCTAATAATCAACTTCACGTAATTAAAAATTTGAAGATAGCAGTAAGCAACATTATCACCCAGCCACCTCAGCCTGGAGCCATTCGGAAGCTGTTGAATGATGTTGTTTCTGGCAGTCAGCCTGCAGAAGGATTAGTAGCTAATGTGATTACGGCAGGAGATTATGACCTTAACATCAGTGGTATGTAACAAGGTTTATTTATTTTTTTAATGAATTTTTTTGTTGTTGTTTGATAAAGTAATTCTTTGACTTGGAAGATCATGCAACAAATATTTAAATGTTTACTGAATGCTAGAGCATGGGAATACAATGTTGAAAAATAGTCCCAGGAACTTTGGCTCTTTATTTTATTCTGGTACCTAAAGTAATATATAGAACATACATGTAATATTTATTGAATGAAAGAACTAACAGCACATAAAAAATGACATTGTTTTGTGATATAAGTAATATAATTAATTAAAAAGCATTAAGTTTATAGTATTTTTGTCTTGCTTGGTGTTCAGTGGAGGAAATGTTTATAAAATATGTATAAATATATAATCTTTTATGAGTGCTTCTTAATCTGGTTTGAATGGCATATGTTTTCGGAACAAGACTAGTAGGTGAAATTATATATTAATATGTAAAGTGAGTTAGCAGGCAGGGCATGGTGGCCCATGACTGCAATCCCAGTACTTTGGGAGGCTGAAGAGAAGATTGCTTGAGGTCAGGAGTTTGAGACCAGCCTGGACAACATGGTGAGACATTGTCGCTACAAAAAAAAAAAAAAAAAAAATTAGCCGGGCATGGTGTTGCACGCCTATAGTCCCAGCTATTTGGGAGGCTAAAGCGGGAGGGTTGCTTGGAGGTTGAAGGTTGCAGTCAGCTATGGTTGGGCCACTGTATTCCAGCCTAGGTGATAGAGGGAGACTCTGTCTCTTAAAAAAAAACATTTAGTTAGAAATATTTGGTGTAACTCTTTTATAATATTAAAAAGTCTTAACTAATTGAAGGATATGGATTAGGTTTTTTAGAGGGAAAAGATTAAAAGTACATCGTCTAGGCCAGGTGTGGTAGCTCATGCTTGTAATCCCAGCACTCTGGGAGGCTGAGGCAGAAGGATCTCTTGAGATCTGGAGTTCGGGACCAGCCTGAGCAAGAGCATGACCCTGTCTCTACTAATAATAGAGAAAATTAGCCGGGCAACTAAGTAACAAAAAATCAGCTGGGCATGGTGACATATGCCCGTAGTCCCAGCTACTTGGGAGGCTGAGGCAGGAGGATCGCTTGAGCTGAGGAGTGAGATTTCTGTGAGCTAGGCTGATGCCACAGCACTCTAGCCTGGGCAACAGAGTTACACCCTATCTCAAAAAAAAGAAAAGCACATCATCTAATTACTATGTTTTAGCACAAATTCTTTTAGTGTTTTCTTCTGGTATTTGTTATGTGTTTCTAAGTAATATTTTTATATGCCTCTCTATGACTTAATAAGTTATTCATTTTATTTATTGATGTCTCATGATGTTTGATAAGGATTTAGCTTAATTATTCCCCTTCCTTTCCCCATCTCATAATTTTTGGTTAATATTCACTGTTACAATATCATGACTAAATATTGTTCACTTCTTCACTGCTGAGCCATTTATTGGGCTTTCTAGTATAGTATTTGTTTTTATAGAAGTTAGTAGTTGTCTTTTTAAAAACATTTTGCTCGGATGGTTCTTGTATCTCTTGCTAGTCTTTCAAACTTCAGTAGTATTTTCTACTTAACAGATTAACTTATCAAATAACTCACTTATCAAGATTTCTTTCCAGAAGTCTTCTCTCTTTCTGCTCCATGCATTCTCAGTGGGAATGATATCATCTCCCAACTCAGTGAAAATTGGCTCAAAAGGGCAAAATATCTTAAGATATAATATATAATGGTTTGTGGCTCTCCAAAGGGTCATGGTACATAAATAGATATACAATATATCTGTGGTATTACTTAAAAAGCTTTTTTGGTGGTGGAAGAAAGTGATTAGGAAAAAAGTCTAAAAACACTCATTGGGGGAAAATTATGAAATAAAAGTTGAGAAACACTATTTTATTCCATGATGAACTGGTTATTCTCTTCTAGGGCCTGCTCCACAGCTGCCATCCTGGGGATTTCCTTCCTTTCTCTTCCCTGTAATCTTTCATTCACATCTTTTTTGTATTACCTTGATTTCCTGAAGGACATCTACAGTAGCTTCCTGAGAGAGGCTGCATGAAAAATAAAATTTTTGAGAAAATGTCTTAATACGTTATTTTATATACTTGATTGATAGCTTGACCATATATGTTATTAGTTAGAAACCATTTCCCTCTGAATTGATCCACTTTCTTTGAGCTTCAAGTATTGCTCTTAAAAAGCTGAAAGCTATTATGATACATACCACCCCTGTCCCTCCATCTTTTAGAAGCTCTTTATCCCTGCTACTTTGAAATTTCGTGTTGGACCTGTTATAACTCCATTTTCACTCAGATTACTGAGTAGCTTCTTTTGACAGTCTGGCATATATACTCTTTAGTCCTGAGAAGTTAATTTTCTTCTTTCTTTTAATTTCTTTTCCATTATTTTCCCTGTTCTTTCAGAAACTATTATTAGTTTGATGTAGAACTTCCTGAGTTGATCCTCTAATGTTCTTTTTTGTTATTGTTGAGACAGTCTCACTTTGTTGCCCAGGCTAGAGTGAATGCCATGGTGTCAGCCTAGTTCACAGCAACCTCAAACTCCCGGGCTCAAGCAATCCTTCTGCCTCAGCCTCCCGAGTAGCTGGGACTACAGGCATGTGGCACCATGCCGGGCTAATTTTTTATATATATATTTTTAGTTGGTCAATTAATTTCTTTCTATTTATAGTAGAGACGGGGTCTCGCTCTTGCTCAGGCTGGTTTCGAACTCCTGACCTTGACCCGTCCACCCGCCTTGGCCTCCCAGAGTGCTAGGATTATAGGCGTGAGCCACCACGTCCAGCCACGATCCTCTAATATTCTTTCTTTTTTTCTAATGTTGTCCATTTCTGTCTTTTTGTTTTACTTTCTGGGTATGACTGTCCTTGATTTCATCTTCTGACGCTTCTATTGAAATTTTAATGTTTGATCTCTTTTTTATGTTTTTTTGAGACAGGGTCTCGCTCTGTTGCCCCGGCTAGAGAGCAGTGGTGTCATCATAGCTCACTGCAACCTCCAGCTTCTGGGCTCCAGTGATCCTCCTGAGTAGGTGGGACCATAGATATGTGCCATCATACCTGGCTGATTTTTCTGTTTTTTGTAGAAACGAGGTCTCGCTTTGTTGCTGAGGCTTTTCTTGAACTACCTCAAGTGATCTTCCCACCTTGGCCTCCCAAAGTGCTGGGATTACAGACATGAGCCACTATGCCTGGCCTCCTCCTCCTTTTTTTCTCTTGAGACATTTTCTTGTTACTTGGATTTTCCTTCTTTTGCCATGCAGATCTTGTTTTATGCTGTAGTATCTTAACTCTAAGGATATTAAATTGTTGTTGGCTTCTTTTTGTTTTTAAGTCTCTATTCTGTGCCTTTTCTTCCATTATGTTATTTTATATTTTGTTTGTTTTGGTCTTTTTTTCATGTTGGAAAACTTTCCTCAAATGGTTGGTGAGCCTATGGCATTATTTTCTATTTCAAATGGAGGTGTTAAAACACTGAATGAGTATAAGAAAAGCCTATCAGTATAAAACACTGAATGAGTATAAGAAAAGCCTTCTTTATTGGTTGGTAAGACTATGACTAGGCTTGAGGGTTGCACAGTTTTTATTATTAATACTGTGTTTCTCCGAAAATAAGACCTACCCATAAAATAAGCCCTAGCAGGATTTCTAAGCATTTATGCAATATAAGCCCTACCCTGAAAATAAGACCTAGTGATGGGCGTGGCTGCGCAGTGTATCTGCACAACCCATGCATTTCATTGTGGAGCGGTAAAGATGATGAGCAGCCCTTCTCATCTGCCCCATGAGAGCTCTATTGCTCGACATGAGAGATTGGGGCCAATGTTTCTAAAGGAAATAGAGCCGCAAGAAATTCAGGCTGGAATTCGGGGTTTGGAGAGTTATCATGTTCCAGAAGACGACGACTTAACTCTATTTGAATAAATGTAGATTGTTGTACTGTACTTAAAAAAAATAACACATCCCCTGAAAATAAGCCCTAGGGTGTCTTCTTGAGGAAAAATAAATATAAGACCCTGTCTTCTTTTGGGGGAAACACGGTACTTATACTTTTTTTCTTAGGGGCCATGTAATTTCTCCAGAGAAGGATTCTAACTTATACTGTCTAGCTATCTTTATCCTAGGGTGCCTTATTTAATTTATATTTTTAAACAGTCTATTAAAATGGTTTGGTATATAGTCTGTAGGAACAATATAGTGATGATTTGGTTGTGAGAAATTACTTTATCTAATTATATTACTGTGTTCTGAGGTCCCTGTCAACATGTCCACATAAGAGAGGATGCAATGTTATTTGTCTTGAAAAGCAGGTGGAGGCATTAATGTAGCTGAACTCTGTAGGCAGATTTTTCAAAGAATCCCAAGTGGTTAGGATAAAGTACAGACCAGAAGAAAACAATTTTTTCAGTTTCTTCACCTATTACAATAAGGCACCTCCTTTAAACTTTATTTTGATGTTGGCTTTGAAGACTGGGAATGAGATACGGAGTACTGAATTCATTTTAGTAAAATTCTATTATAACAGAACAATACTCTTTGGAGACTATAAAAAAGTGATTTTATCCATTTTAATAAGGTATTAAGTCTCTAGAGGTCCAGAAGTATGCTTCTCACTTTTACCATTAATGTAAGTCAGCATACTCTCATCCATTCTGTTAAGAAATAGATGTTAGATATATCTACCTCATAAGCCCCTAGCTTAACAGTGCCATATTTTCTTCATCAGATCAGTCAGTTAAAGCTAATATTCCTTGATACAGTAATTGGAAAGACACACTGATGGAGTTGAAAGAATCTTCATCATACACAGATATTTCTTGTGGTGGTATCAGTTTTCCAGATTGTTCTTCCTCTTTGCCTGTTATCTTTTTTCCCCAATCAGCTACTATTTTGCATTCATCCCAATTAATATGTCTGTCTAATTTTTCTAAAATGAGGGAGGTCTTTTGATGCTTTTTCAACTTTTGTTATCTATTATCTATTCTGTTTACTCTTGATTTACAACATTTGCTGAATCTAGGCGTGGTCTTTGAATAGTATAGTTTGGGCTGCATCTTATTTTAATAAGAAGGAAGAACATACTATCTGTCCTTACCAAGACAAAGTACATTCTGCTTGGAGAAACTTTTAGTAGTATGCTTTAGAAGCATGGTTGCTGTTTCAGTTCCAAACAAAGAACATGTAGAGATGGAAAGGGGTATGAGCAAAATAGTGATTTTTATCCCCAAATAAGTATTAGGTTATTAAGTATGAAATGTCCAATTTCCTTAAATGCTAAGTTTGACAGTTGATATCTCTGACATTTCACTTTGATGCTCTTGTTTTATTTTTATTGTGAAGGTACATACTTATTCTTTCAGATGCATGGTTTGGCTTGTGATTGTCTTTCAAAAATTTTTTTACAGTAATTTTTGTGAAATCATGGATAAGTCAAAAATTCATGTTATTTTAGAATATGAGTTTTGTTGTGGAACAAATGCAGCTTAAAATATCAACGAAGTGTTTCGGAAGGATGTAGCTAATGAACATGATACATTGATGGTTTGAAAAGTTCCATTCTTGTGATTTTAATCTTGAAAATGAGCCACAGGGGTGACCTGAGACCAACGTGGTTAATGATGAGCCGAAGGCTGTAGTGTAGTGGAAGCGAATCTATCTCAACCTACATGTAAATTAGCAGTAAGGTTTGCCATTGCTATTCTAACAATATTGGACCACTTGAAACAAATCAGCAAGGTAGAGAAGCTGGACAGGTGGGCTCTGCATGAATTAAACAAGCATCAGAAGAGAAATTTGAAGCTTGCCTTTCTTTGCTGTCATGAATAAAGGTGAACCATTTCTACACTATATTGTTACACGTGATGAAAATGGATTCTTTTTGACAATCGCAAGCATTTGGCACAATGGTTGGATAAAGATGAAGTGCCGAAACACAGTCCAAAACCAAATATTCATCAGAAAAAGTTAATGGTGTCTTCTTGGAGGTCTAGTACTGGTATCATCTACTGTAGCTTCATGAAACCTGATCAGTCAATTACAGTGGATGTCTACTGCAACTAATTGGACGAAATGATGAGGATGCTTGTGATTAAACAGCCAAGATTGGCCAATAGAGACAGGCCAATCCTCTTGCAAGGCAATGCTAGACCACATGTTGCCCATACACTGCTCAGACTACAGAGCCTGGACTTGGAAACTCTGTCATCCTCAGTATTCACTAGACCTTGCACCAACAAGCCACCACTTCTTCCAGGCTTTGGACCACTTCTTGCAAGGAAAATATTCAATTTACAACAAGTTGTGAAAAATACCTTTTTCAATTTCATTGCTGCTCACTCTCCAGGCTTCTTTGCTGCTGGCATAAATAAGCTACCATTAAGATGGCAAAACTGTGTCACTAGTTCAGGCGCGTACTTTGATTAATTGTGCTACTTCTTGTTTGAGAGATAATAAACTAAACTATTATAATGTCAAAATTGGACATTTCATATTTAATGATGTATATAAGAGAATTTTTAAGGAAAGAGTTTTAAAGTCTTCTATTACCATAAAAATTTTAAAAGGTATCATTTTCCCTCTTTTCTGGAAAAAGTATTTGAAAAAGAAAAAAAATAGTAGGATGTTCTTGATTTATTAGCATTTAACAAAATTGAAGGAGGGCTTCCAATTTAGCCTTTCAAGGAAATATATGGCTGAAGGGAAAACTTATCAACTTGAGTGTGACTTATGAGAAGGATAAAACCCATTTCTGGTATATATCTTTAAATTTTTCCTTTTTTCTTCATATCCTTAGCTGAATATCCAGTGTGTTTGCATCACCTGTATTTAGAAAGTTATTGTTTCAATTTAATAACTTAGGGGCTGGGTAAAGTGGCTTATATCTATAATCCCAGTACTGTGGGAGCTGTTTACCTCAAGACAAATATAAAACTAGAGCAGTTTAGACAACATAGCAAGACTCTGTCTCTACAGAATTTTTTTGTTTTACAAAAATTAGCTAGGTGTGGTTGCCACATGCTTGTATCTAGACTTGGGAGGCTGACGTGGGAAGATCGCCTGAACCCAGGAGTTGGAGGTTATAGTGAGCTATGATTATAACCCTGCACTCCAGTGAGACCCTGTCTCAAAAAAAAAAAAAAGGAAAAGGAAAAAAAAGAACTTGTATATGTCTTGATGTGTGTATATTTTGCTTTTTTAAAATTTGATTTGATTTTTAATTTATACAGTTCCAAAAGTAGAACTATAAAGCAAGGTACATTGAGATTTAGCCTGCATTTGTGTCCCCTCCTCATCCCCTCTCTTCTTTTTCTTCTTTCCCTTATAGATAATTAAATGTATTAGATTTATCCCTCTGTTATTTATCTTTGAAAATGTAAGCAAATATGTGTATGGCTCTTCACATTTTCTTTCTTACACAAAAGTTCATTTTTCTGTTTTTTTCTACTTTTCTGCTGTTGCTTTTTTACACTTAACAGTGTATCTGAGAGAGCACTTCATAGTAGTATATAGAGATTTTCCCCTTTCTCTTGCAGTTGCATAGTATATCCATTTAATGGATGGGCCATAAGTTATTTAACCACTTCCCTCCTAATTGACTTGTGCATTTTCAAGTCTTTCTGTATTATTATAGGTAGTTTTGCAAAGAATAGATATTTTGAAGATCTACTTTATTTATTCAGAACTCCTAACCCCAACCATGAAACAAACCTTTTTTTCATAATGTATTTCTTTTCTTATCATTGTTACTAAGTGAAAATATACATGAACTTTCCAGACAGAAACTAATTTTGACTGACTTGAGGAGGAGGATTATATTACTGGTTGGTGAAAAAATTGGTTTCCTGTTATAGTAGATATTAGTCTGTGTCATTTATTCTTCAATTTTTGCTACTTTTCATATAGATTTTAATATTTTCTGGGAATGCTTTTCTTCTTTTATAGCAACAAAACATGAAATTGTTTCAGTAAAAGCTCAGTAATAAATGGGTCATTCTCATGAGGCATTTGTTGGAATTAAAATTTTTTGTATATTTTGCTAGATAGATACGCTATTTGGTCAAGATGAATGGCTTTTTTTCTACAAACTTTCTAATTGTTTAATGTGGTATTATAACGTTAGCAGAAAGAATATATTTGCTGTGTTTTTAATGATTAAAATGAAAGCAAAAAGGATGTAAGATTTGGAAATCACAAACAGCTACAAATAGAGTGTCCTTTTAGTAAAACTGATTTAGATAATCTGCTTCAAACCTAGTAAATGACTATTCAAATGAAAAATAATAGTTGTGATATAAAATGCTTGGTATGGAGCAAGAGAGAATTGACATTTTAAGAATCATGTTATATACATTTATACAAAAAATAAAAATATACTTCTTTGAATTTGATTATAAGGTTAAGTATGTTTTGAAATGCCATTTAAAGAGGCTTTGTTAGGTCATACTCAAGTAATCAAATTACAAAGTAAGATTTGTCAACCATACCACTATTTACATTTTGAGCCAGACAGTTGGGGGGTTATCTTCTGTGTATTGTGGGATGTTTTGCATTATTCCTGACTTCTTTCCCTAGATGCTAGTAGCCCATGCTCCCCTCCCCCAGTTCTGGTAACCAAGAATATCTCCAGACAATGCCAGGTGTTTCCTGGGAGTCAAAATCATACTCTGTTGAGAACCACTGTTTTGAAGTGTTATTTCTGAAAAGGATCTACTGTGACAGTATGACTAGTGGCAGGTGCATAACACTTTAGTTCTAAAGAAGTAATCTTTGTATTAGGTGATATTTAGAGCATTAATAGGTAAGTAGGTTGTGGGAATACTGTGCAAGTTCGGGAATAACTCAGTTTTATTTTTGCAAATATATGTACTTCCATGTATTGAGTATATTCTTGTGAATGGCTTAAAACGTGTGTGTGTGTATATACTGTATACACTATATATACAGATATGTACACACATCTGAAAGTACAAGTAAAAATGCTTGTTTACTATTAAAAATTATCTTTATGTTTTAGGAAAATGGATTTGAAATTTTGTCTTTGTAAAGTGATTCTATTGAGACATTTTAATGTATTGTTTTATATATTGTTAATTTTAGCTACTACTCCATGGTTTGAGTCTTATAGAGAGACCTTTCTTCAGTCGATGCCAGCATCAGATCATGAATTTCTGAACCACTATTTAGCCTGTATCCTTTGACCTTGATGTTCTCTTAAAATGAAATATTATGGAAGTTATTAATCTCAGAAATAGTTAAATGAGAGCAAAATTGTTGAGGATATAGAGAAAGGAGAAATTTTTATTGAGGATGCATCAAGTTTTTGTTGTTTTGTTAAATGGCATTCTAGATACAGGACTGCTGTAATAAATTAATTTTCAGTTATACAATAAGACAACTCAGGGCTTGATTATTATTTTCCTTAGCCCCCTAGCTTAAATATTTCTGCTTAATAAGTTTTAAACCTTTTTAAAGAGATAATGTGAATGGTCAATGTTAACTATTTTCACTGATTACCTCAAAGTTAATTGTTTATCCTAAAGCTCATATTTAAAAACAATTTTCCACATTTTTAGTAATCATTTTGTGGATATTAATCATCCTTTGATGATTGTGGCTTTTTAATTTCCTTAATGAGGTTACAGAGATAAGTTAAGAAGTAGGATAGATTGTGAAACTGCACTAAGAGAAGAGCAAGATTCAGGAGAATTCTTCATTATGTTGATAGTTGTACAACTTTGATATTATCCATTTTTATTTTCATGGATTTTTTGTCAAATAAGTAAATTTGGTCAAATAAGTAAACTCAACAAAAATTCTGTAAGATTTAGAACCTTGAATTACTTTGGAGTGTTAGAGAAATTATTTTGTGCTTGCAGTGAAAACATGAATTTAGATTTTTTTAGCTCAGAAAATATCTCTGTAAAGTTTATCTTAATAGGATAATATTTATCATTGAGCGATAAGTGATAATTACCTTAATAATATGGTTTACAAGGTATGTTGGTAGCATCGTCTAGTGAAGCTGAACCTGTGGAACAGTTTTCAAAGTTGTCACAAGAGCAGCATCGAATTCAGCACAACAATGATTATTCCTACCCTAAGTGGTTTATACCAAATACTCTTAAGTATTATGTACTTTTACATGACGTAAGTGCAGGAGATGAACAGAGGTAAGTTTTACTTTGTTAATTTAAAATTTTTTCCTGTTAAATGATTTAACATTAATTTGGATTTAGGTTGTTTGAATTTTGGATTTATTTTTTGTACTAGAAAGTAAACAGTTTTATATGTGAATTTATTAATAGAGCATTTAACTTTACCTTTTATTCTTGATTTATATTCAACAGCTAAGTCATTTTATGTTGGATTTTATGTTTACCTCAACTTTATTTTCAATATATATTTCTTGTATTTATTGTTATTATATAATAAGCACTTGTCATTTTACTCCTGTAGATCTTAGCAGTTGTTTCTTATTTTATATAAGGTTATTTCTCTCTTTTTTTCTTTTCTCCTTCCCAGTTTTCCTCTAACTTTCACTGCCTGACTGTTGCTTACAGGCGCTTCTCTTTTCACTGTCCACTCTCATCACATTATATTTTGGGTCTTGATATTTTTCACAGTCTTAAAGCATACAGACATATATGTTACCTTTAATATTTGTTATTAGTGGTTTGCAGCACTTTTTTCTTTGTGGTACAAGAATAGCTTGCCTTTAAAAATAAATTCTTGAAAAATAAGATAAACATTAAAAAGGAATTCTATTTTTTGGAGTTTATTTTGGCTTTTGGTTTAAGGTGTGGATCAAATTAATCTTTTGTTTCAGATGGTTACTCTGATATCTCAATGCCATTTAGGATATGTAATTTAATAATTATTTCCTACTCTTGTGCTGAGCACAAACCATCTTTTTAATAAATTTTCCTGTGTAGAACCAAAGAATTATTCTGAGGATTACTAAACATTAGGATTTTTTGAAATGTCTTTAGCCAGTTGGATAAAGTATATTATATGAATAGGAGTAATTTGAACTGACTACTAAAATTAATTTCTGTCAATTGAATGTGGAATATGTCTTCCATATTGAATACTTATAACTAGGGTATTTAAGTGATAATTCGAGTATTAGATTAATGGTTCTTATGTGTAGTATTATCATTGGTAAAATGATCCATGAGTTTGGTTTATTGTCCTTCGGTATGTGTACATATACACACACATGCACACACGATTTCTATATATATTTATACAAATTTTATATAACTATATAACCTTTACGTATCTGGCCTTATGTGTAATACAAATTAGCTATTTGATAGGCTTATTTGCACTGTATTAGCATTTTCATTTGAATGTGCTTTTAAGACTTTCTAGGTAGTTTTTTGTTTTTTGTTTGTACCAGGTGGCTGATTGGCTTGAAAAAAAAACATTTAAACTTGGTTAGCTCTGTGAACCAAAATTTCATTTTCCATAGCTTGTACTGTTTACTTCATAGGCTATCTTATTTAAATTATCTCCCACCAACTAACAAGTTTATCTTTTTTTTTGAGACACAGTCTCACTCCATTTCCCTGAGTAGAGGTGTCAGCCTAGCTCACAGCAATCTCAAACTCTGGGCTCAAGTGATCCTCCTGCCTCAGCCTCCTGAGTACCTGGGACTGTTGATGCATGCCACCACGCCCAACTAATTTTTTCAATTTTTAGTAGAGACAGGGTTTCACTCTTGCTCAGATTGGTCTGAACTCCTTGACCTCAAGCTGTCTTCTAGCCTCTGCCTCCCAGAGTGCTAGGATGACAGGCCTAAGCCACCATGTCTAGCCAAAGTTTATTTATCTTACAGTACAGAGCTTAGAATGTTTTTGTTGCTTCTGAGATCTGTTGTATCTGAGCTCATGGATCCAGTTACTATAAATTTTGCAATAAAAAATGGTGGATTGTATGAAATAAGTACCTTGGCTACTTTTGTTCAGTTTTCTCTTTTTTTCCCTTTGAACTGTGTTCTGTTTTGTAAGTTTTTTGTTGCTGTACTTTTCTGTTTTATCTCTTACATTTATTGATAAATATTCTCTAAGACATAATTCCTCAGAGTTCTGTTTGGGAACTAACAGGTAGTTCTCATCTTTGAGAGGAAGAGTCTGTTATCTTTAAGTTAGAAGCTGCTCCTTGGAAATTCACAATGCACATTAGCAAATGGAGATAGTCTGATGTAAAGATAACTTTTTTTTGTTGGGGGGCGGGCGGGCAGAGTCTCACTCTGTTGCCCATGGTAGAGTGCAGTGGTGTCTCATAGCTCACTGCAATCTCAAACTCCTGGGCTCAAGCAATCCTCTTGTTTCAACCTTCCCAGTAGAGGCGAGTGCCATGATACCTGGCTAATTTTTCTATTTTTAGTAGAGATGGGGTCTCGGTCTTGCTCAGGCTGGTCTCCACTTCCTGAGCTCAAGTGATCCTCCCCTCTAGACCTCCCAGAGTGCTAGGATTACAGGCATGAGCCACTGCTTCCAGTCAAGAAACTGGTTTTATTTACTGTGATTCCCCAAACTATTTTGACCACCACACCTCTCTCTTTGAATGACGTATAGGAGTATTTTGCAGAATTTTATTCCACTGGAAACATTTTGGTTAGCTCTGCTTTCAGTTGATATCCAAGCTAGCTAAATTTCAATTGAGATCATGATTTTTGTTCTAATTTTTAAAATTATTTTATCCTCTAATTTATTGTTACGTATTATCCATTATTGCTTAAGTTCTGCTCCCATTTACTACAAACTTTTTTCCATTTTTTATTTTAGAGCTGAATCAATTTATGAAGAAATGAAACAGAAATATGGAACTCAGGGTTGCTATTTACTTAAAATTAATTCTCGAGCGTCTAATCGAGCATCAGATGAACAGATACCTGATCCTTGGAGTCAGTATCTCCAGAAAAATAGTATTCAAAACCAGGTATATGTAAAATAAAAAAAAAAAAAGCAAACCACAGCAGCTGTATTTCAGTTTTATGATATAATAGTATCACTGTAGAATTTTTTATGTCTTAACTTAACTAGTATAATTATTAATATTAATTTTGTGGAGTCTGGCTAATTTTGATCCAACGTAAGTTCTTTAATTGGTGGTTCAAAAGCTGTTTTTATCCGACTAAAATAATCTCTTATGTATATTCCTTTCAGTTATATAAGGTCAATGTTAATTGATCTTTTTCTTAAAACATAAAGTGAGTTACACATTAGGAATTGAATTAGATTGGCTAGCCATGTAGAGAATAGAATATCTGACTGGTCCATTTAATTTATTATGAATGCTTATAGTCAACTCCTTTTTTTGTTTTGAGACAGAGTCTCGCTTTGTTGCCCAGGCTAGAGTGAGTGCCATGGCGTCAGCTTAGCTCACAGCAACCTCAGTCTCCTGGGCTCAAGTGATCCTCCTGCCTCAGCCTCCCGAGTAGCTGGGACTACAGGCATGCGCCACCATGCCCGACTAATTTTTTGCATACATATTTTTAGTTGGTCAGTTAATTTCTTTCTATTTTTAGTAGAGACAGGGTCTCATTCTTGCTCAGGATGGTTTTGAACTCTTGAACTTGAGTGATTCTCCTGCCTTGGCTTCCCAGAGTGCTAGGATTATAGGCATGAGCCACCGTGCCCGGCCTATAGTCAACTCTTGATTGCCCTGTGCTCTGGGGTTGCCTTCCTACATTTTCAACATATTCTTATACTTGCCTTTTGGAGCTCATAATTTTTAGATGGGCAGGCTTTTTTTCTGTAACTTTCCTTTGATTTATCTTCCTTTTGAACTTTCAGGAAGTGTTATTTCTCCCTTATTCCTTTCTTAACCTAGAGTTCTAGATGGATGTTAATTAAAGTATAATATTGTGCCACTTAGTAGTAATGAAATGCCAATTCCTATGCCTAGTTGAGATCATTAAGAGTTAACTACTTTTTGTTTAGAAGTAGGAGTTTTTATATGGAAAACATACTTATATTTTGTACTGTTAAGCTATATTATATACTCTTTATATGATATTTTTAAAAACCAGTTATAATCCAGTTATAATTTTTGATCTGATATAAATATTATTTAATATGTTTATTTGCCTTCTTTTTCTTTCTTTTTTTTCCTTCCTTTTTTTGAGACAGAGTCTTGCTTTGTTGCCTGGGCTAGAGTGCTGTGGCATCAGCCTAGCTCACAGCAACCTCGAACTCCTGGCTTAAGCGATCCTCCAGCCTCAGCCTCCCGAGTAGCTGGGACTACAGGCATGCTTCACCATGCCCAGCTAATTTTTTTCTATATGTTTTTAGTTGGCCAATTAATTTCTTTCTATTGTTAGTAAAGACGGGGTCTCGCTCTTGCTTAGGCTGGTTTGGAACTCCTGACCTTGAGCGATCCTCCTGCCGACTAATCAGGAGGAATGCTGAAGACTAGTCTCTGAGCAAAAAAAAACAGCTGGCTATGAAGGAGTTTTAATTTTCAAATGGTCTTTCAGAGCCATACTAAAAATAGAAACAGTACTGAAAAGTTCAATTTAGAGTCCAGCCATCTATGATTGTGGAGGGGAACATAGATTGTACAGTTTGAGAACTTTTAACTGAAGAGAGAGATATCAGAAATTCTGTAAGTTAGAATCCTAGAAGCCCAAGGTTGGAGGATAGTTTAAAGGTTATCCAGTCTAACCCCTGTGTTTTGAATCTACAAATGACCTCATCTGGTTACAGTACTTGCTATCTCCTTAAGTGACCCATTCCATGTCTGATCAGTTTGAAGATCAACCAAAAGTTTTCTTTGCTTGTACTCAGTGATCCTTTAAGGGGGGACCATGTAAGTTTTCCATTATAACAGCTTACAAAATATACAAGATTAGTTTTCGTGTCCCCTTTTATATTTTTCCAGGCTAAAAATACCTAGTTTTGGGTTTTTTTTTTGAAACAGGATAGGCTAAAAATACCTAGTTTTGGTTTTTTTCCCTTTTTTTTTTTTTGAAACAGGATGTTACTTTGTCATGCAGGCTGGAATGCAGTAGTGTGATCCTAGCTCATTGAAACCTCAAACTTCTGAGCTGAAGTGATCCTCCTGCCTCAGCTTCCCAATTACCTAGGACTACAGGCACATGCCACCATGTCCAGCTAATTTCTATTAGTATTTGTAGAGAAGGGGTCTCACTATTGCCTAGGCTGGTTTCCAACTCCTGGCTTCAAGCAGTGCTCCCACCCCAGCTTCCCAAAGTACTGGGATTACAGGCATGAGCCACTGTACCTGTTCTAAATATACCTGGTTTCTGCAACTTTTTCTCAAGGGGTGGTTTCACACTTCCCTGTACTGGTCACTTTATTCTTCAGTTCTAGTTTATATATTTTGATCAAATCATGATACTCAGAATAATACCTCATATTTACTGGTCTTGTGGAGTAGTCTTGGTATTTTTAGTTTGTTTTCCTTCTTAACTGAGAAAACAGTGCCTTTGCACAAATAAATGTTGCCTTTGGTATTTTTTCAAACACTTCATTCAGCATATTCAGAATTCACTCCAACCTGCTAATAATGTCTATGACCCAGGAGATTTCATACCTATCCCTCTTTTTTTTTCCACCTGAGCCATCTCTTTTTTTTGTTATTCTTTACTTAAGATACATAGGCATATGCATATGCTCACATGAATACCTGTGTATATGTATATATAGATATAGATATACATATCACATATAAATATCTAAGCAGATATTTTGAATTCAAAAGAATTAGAGAATAGATGAGTGTGAAAAGAAATTTAAGAATATAGTAGGTCCTATATCCTAACTGAAAGAGTGGAATTGGAATGTTCCTAAAACAAAGAAACAATGAACCCGCAATAATAAAAAAGAGAAAAAAAGCTAAAGAGTTTAGATTGGAAATCTTAAAAAAAAAGAAAGACTGTAGTAGATAGAGTGATAAAATAAGAGCCATAGAAGAAATTAAGCATTTGGGGGCTAGAAGAGTCTCACTATAGCAAATAAATGAGGCTAATAGTTAGCAGAGCATTCATAGTTGTTGATGGATTTGGTGGTTTCTTAAATATGATTAAATAACTAATAATGCTTTTTTGTTTTATTTTGATAGGACTCATATGAAGATGGCCCTTGTGCTATAACTTCAAATAAGAATTCTGATAGTAACTTGCTTTCATTGGATGGATTAGATAACGAAGTCAAAGGTCTTGATATTTTCTCTAAATTTCTCTTTTGATTGAAAATATGCTCTGTTGTCAAAGTATGCTAACCTTTGTAGATAAAAGATGGGGGAAAATTTCATAATACAAACAGATAATGAGCAGGTTAGTTTATCTTAAGATTTTACTGAGCTATTTGAGTTTAACTTTTTTTTTGAGATAGAGTCTCACTGTGTTGTCTGGGCTAGAGTGCCATGGTATCAGCCTAGCTCACAGCAGCCTCAAACTCCTGGCTCAAGCAATCTTTCTGCCTCAGCCTCCTGAGTAGCTGGGACTACAGGCATGAGCCACCATGCCAGGATAATTTTACATATATATATATGGTTTATTTTTTCTTAATTTTTTTTAGTTGGCCAATTAATTTCTTTCTATTTTTAGTAGAGACGGGGTCTTGCTCTTGCTCAGGCTGGTTTCGAACTCTTGGCCTTGAGCGATCCGCCCACCTCGGCCTCCCAGAATGCTAGGTAAATTATAGTTTTGGTAATGATAGCTCTAAAATTTTTTTGTTACAATTTTTCTTAGGGCTTAGTTAGGCTATTTAAAAGTAATTATGTCATTTAAAAACTGTACTTCATTTACTTATTTACATGAATTTTTAAATTTCTGTTACATGCAACAAAATAAGTACTCAAGCTGTTTAATTTGTGGTAGAGAATGTTATTTTTCCTTAGATTTCTAGGATATTCTAAAATATACAGAAAGATAAAGTGTTCTAGTATTCTTTTTTCCTTAGCGGTGTGGTAGTATTATCACAATTTTCTATTGCATTCTGAGAGTAAAAGAAAGATCTGTTTCTCAGGAGATGGCTTACCAAATAACTTTAGAGCTCACCCACTTCAATTGGACCAATCAAGTGATCCTTCCAACAGCATTGATGGCCCAGATCATGTAAAATGTGCTTCATCATTACACGAAACAAAGAAAGGAAATACTGGAGTAATTCATGGTGCATGTTTAACACTTACTGATCATGATAGAATTCGACAGTTTATACAGGAGTTCACATTTCGGGGCCTTTTGCCACATATAGAGAAAACGATTCGACAATTAAATGATCAGGTAAGACTTGTTTGGATTGGTATTTTAAAAATTTAAGTAAATAGTAAATTTAAGACTGTGATAGTTATTTAAAGTATATGAAGTTTTTTTTAATTTTTATTTTAAGGTAGGCCAATATTTAGGGCTTCCTAAAATTACTATCATTAATGAAAGTCTATTCAACTCTGGAAGAGGCTTATTTGTTTTCCCTAGGATTTTGCTTGCATTATAGAAATAGTTTTCTTTCGGTTAGTGTTATTAAAATGAACATTTGCTCACTATTAAAGCTTTTTAGTTACTTAAAAATTAGTTATTTGAAAATTTTTTCTTTTTTATGAAAAAGAAAAATGTTAAAGTTTTTATATTTATCAACATATTTAATATTTTTCTTAGCTAATATCAAGAAAAGGTTTGAGTCGATCTCTGTTTTCTGCAACTAAAAAATGGTTTAGTGGCAGTAAAGTTCCAGAAAAGAGCATTAATGAGCTGAAAAATACATCTGGGTTGCTGTGAGTAAAATATTATATGTATTTTTTTTTCTGTGTTTAACTCTGTCTGGTGCTTGACTGTATGATATCCTGCCAAAAATAATTATCTCTTTAGTTTCTCAGTTTCATATTGGTCAAAACTCAGGGAGATAAGAACAATGACTATAAGTAAATTATATTAATGTTTTACAAAACTGAGTAATTGGATATCTAAAAATAAACAAGATAAATGGAAAAGTCACTTTGGGTCTGTGTTCTTATTTATAAAAAGATTGAGTTAGATTAGGAATTCATTAATAACTCTTCTATATCTAAAATGTAATGGTTTAGTCATTCTAAGACATGGCATGTATCTAACAAATTATGTTTTATACAAAATCCTATGTTAAGGGAAAATAAAATTCATCCATTTTGGATTTTAAATTTTTTTCCTTGTGTATAAAAGTGAGTCAGCTGGAATTAACTGTTAACTTCATAATTTGGTCATGGAGAAAATGCTTGCCTACTGTTGAGAAATTCTCAGGGCTATAAATAAATAAAATCACTTTCTATTTCCAAATATTTTTGAGAAATAGACACTCTTGTTAGAGGTAGAATTCGTATAAAACAGGATCAGTTTTCCTCATACTCTGGAAAATGTGTCAGCTTGTTATAGATTTCATAATTTTAATGATTTGGGGGATCATAAATTATAAATTGTTTTCTTTATTTTCTATTTGCAGGTATCCACCAGAAGCACCAGAGCTTCAAATCAGGAAAATGGCTGACTTATGTTTTTTGGTGCAACATTATGATTTGGCTTACAGTTGCTATCATACTGCAAAGAAAGATTTTCTTAATGATCAAGCAATGCTTTATGCAGCTGGTGCCTTGGTTGGTATTGTGTAGTATTATAATTCCTTGTTTCTATTACTGTAAATAGTTTAGAAATTTCTCTTAATGGCAAACAAAATCTCTAGGGATAAAGTTGTACTCAAAGAGCATACAGTGCTTTATAGATTTTGAATTCATTTATGCTGAATTAATGGATTTCTCTCAAACTGGTTCATTAAAAGATGGTCCTGAGGCTGGGTGTGGTGGCTCACCGCCTGTAATCCTAGCACTCTGGGAGGCCTAGGCCAATGGATTGCTCGAGGTCAGGAGTTCGAAACCAGCCTGAGCAAGAGCAAGACCCCATCTCTACTAAAAATAGAAAGAAATTAATTGGCCAACTAAAAAAATAAAAAATTAGCCTGGCATAGTGGCGCATGTCTGTAGTCCCAGTCACTCGGGAGGCTGAGGCAGCAGGATTGTTTGAGCCGAGGAGTTTGAGGTTGCTGTGAGTAAGGCTGACGCACGGCGCTCACTCTAGCCTGGGCAACAAAGCGAGACTCCGTCTCAAAAAAAAAAGGATGGTCCTGTGGGTTGATTTCTTAATTTTGATTAGTGCCTTCTAATTTTTCACAAGTTTTCAAAATTTCATTTTTTATTATAGTGTAAGTATAATGTGTTTTTTAGAAGATGCTTTTAGAACTTGAAAATATATTTTTAAGTTGCTTGATATAAGATTTTATATTGATAAAGAACATGTACTTTGGTGTGAGACAGTCTCTCAGGCAAGTTATTGAATATCTCTAAGCCTCAATTTTCTCACTTGTAAGAGGTAAAAATGTTTTTGTAATAGAACAGACTGTACCTTTTTAGGTGAAAATTATAGAAGATATTTAGTTATATTAACTAAAAAGGTAAAATGTATATGATAGCAAAACCAATAGTAGGAATTATTTAAATTTTTTTATATTTAATCTGTCATTAACTGAAGGTTAAATAGATTAGTTCTTTATGATAATCTTTATAAAATGTATTAATCCATTATTATAGAATATAAGAAAAAATTGAATGGTTGATTATTGAAGATTGTGCAGTTACTTGGGGTGATCATTCTGAATGTTCTCGCTGTGTCTATAGAAATTGTTTCGTTTGAATATATATTTAATATTCACTGTAAGATTAATGTTTAATATTAATTTAATATTACTGCTAAATTGAAGATTAACTTAAAATTTGGGGCATAGTTTTCTAACAGGATTTTTGCTTAGTACATTTTTTATTAATGTTTGTATATGTAGTATTTATAGTACATGGATAATAAATATGTATTTTTGTACAATAATTTTACCATATATTCAGTATATTTTTGTATAATATAGAACTGTATGTATATTCAGTATGTATACTAGTTAAAATATAAGCTAGTTAAAACATGATGTTGCAGAGCTATACAGTATTTTGTCACATGTATATTATATATTTTTATTCTGCTCATTCAATAAATTTTGGAGCAGACACTGTCCTAGGTGCTAAGGATACAGACATATTCCAAAACAGATATGGTTCATATTGTCATGAAACTTATAGTCTGTCAGGTTAAAAGCTTTAATCATATTTCAGTTTTTGGATAATTAAATTACTTTTTTCCCTGTTTTGAAAAATATTGCAAAGAAATACATTTATTTGTCCTAGAAATAGATATTGTGACATTAATGGTTTCTGTCCTTTCCTTCCACCCATTTTATGATGGTTTCCAGTTTATTTCTAGCTAAATTTTTATTAAATCTTGGTTTATATGAGAAAACAAGTGTGAATATAGTAGGATATTTTGCTAAGAGAACCAAAAACTGCATTTTAATCTTCATTTCTACATGCTTTAACATTATTGTGTATTATTTGAATTATTAACTAAGGTCCTGGGCATTGACAGTAGAATGCATTTTTGTAATGAAATTTGACATAGAAAATTAATAGTAATAAGAGGTCTAAGAAATGGTCTTTTACCTTCTATATGATATAGGGCATAAACTAGGTAATGAGCAGAATATATTGATAGTGCAGGCTCTGTGAGTTCTGTTTTCATATTGTTGATACCAGTAAGTTGGAAACAGATGTACCTTATTCTGTTCTCTCTCTATGATCTTGTCTTTGGTTTATTCTATACTTATTGAAGGTTAGGAAAGACCAGGAGGAGGTAGTAAAAGAAATCTTGGCACTCTGGGAGGCCTAGGCAGGAGGATCATTTGAGCTCAGGAGTTCAAGACCAGCCCGAGCAAGAGCAAGACCCCGTCCCTACCAAAAAAAATAGAAATTAGCTGGACAACTAAAAATATATATATATATAAAAATTAGCCAGGCATGGTGCCACTTGCCTGTAGTACCAGCTACTTGGGAGGCTGCTTTGGCAGGAGGATCCCTTGAGCCTAGGAGTTTGAGGTTGCTAGGCTGATGCCACGGCACTCTAGCCCGGGCAACAGAGTGAGACTCTTGTCTAAAAAAAAAAAAGAGAAAGAAATCTTTTTTTTAAAATTTTTTATTTTTTCCAATAACTGTTGGGAACAAGGGAGAAAGAAATCTTAAGCCAGGCTCACTTGGTAGTATAATGCATATATATCACAACCCAAAGTGTTTACTAGATTTTTTTTGAAATCTCATTGAAATACTGAATGGGAAAACTTTGGGATTCGACTAGAGAATTTTAAGATGAAAAGCATATAAATATATTTTTTAAGTCTGCCTTGGCTATGAAATTTATACATAAGTATCAAGTAAAAAAAAAAACAACAACAACAAATGTTATTCCAATTTTTAGGCTTCCTGAATGCTAAGTTATAAAAATATTCCTCCTTTTGAAATAGTATAAATTATGTCTTTTCCTTTAGGAAATGGCAGCAGTATCAGCTTTTCTTCAACCAGGAGCACCTAGGCCATACCCTGCTCATTACATGGATACGGCAATTCAGACATACAGGGATATCTGCAAGTAGGTGACTATAATATTTATATTCTAACCATTTAGAGGGTAATTTGGCATTTATATTGTTAATAGATATAAATCTTTATTTTTCATGCCTAAATTCCCAAATCAAGTAAACATAGTAAGAGACAAGTTGAGGTGATTTTTTTTTTTTAAATAGTGTTTTATATTACATCCTCTTTTTCTTTTCCGTTTTGTTTGGATTAGTGGTTAGAAATTTGTTATATGTAATGCTGAAGTTACATGTTACATTGAGGGTTATTTGTATTATGGGGACATTTTTGACCATAACTACTGTCAAGCCAGGAATTAGCCATTTTCAATTTTCCTTGTTTAAATAGCCAAACACAAAGAGTTAAATAATAGTCCAGGGGGAAAATGGGAATTGTTTAGTATTTATAGTGAGTTCTATTGGAACTGTATAGCATAGGAGTTAGAACTCACCACCTATAAGGAGACTGTGAACAGGTCTCAAAGTGGTCAGGGGAGAGTACATGGTATGTTTGATGAATAGACCTTTAAAGAAAGGTGTTTGAGATTTGATATCCATGGAGGTGTTTCAGAAATAGTGATTGGCAGGAATAATGTTTCAGATGTAGCATTACTCGTCACAGGGAATAGAGCCCTGGCTAGGTTGGAGGGTTTGTGTCTATGGAAAGTACTGGGACATATATTTGAAAAAAGGGTTTGAGATACATTCATGTGAAGAACCATAACTGTCATATTTTATTATTATTGTTAAGCTGTACTTAAGATAAGCTGGTTAGGTGGTATGTGCTTGTCATCCCAGGATGAGGCAGGAGGATCCCTTGAGCCCAGGAGTTTCAATACAGACTGGTTATGTCTCTCTAAAAAATAAAACAAAGAAGCTATAGTTAAAATTTTTAAGTAGTAGTAAATGGGAAATTACTCAGCATTTAAGGTGGTGCCTTGACATAATAAAAGTTATTTTTCTGAAAGGTTAATCTGACTTTTCTATTGTAGAATAGGTACATTGGAAGACAAAGGTAGAGGCAATTTTGACCCCTATAATGTTGAATTAGAAGTTGTAGTCATAATAGCAATGTTTACAACAACATTTTTAATAAAAGGCTAATTATTAACAACATTTATTGAGTGTTCAGCACTTGCCACTATACCTTAAGTAATTCACACACTTCATTTAATCTTTACAACAAACCTGTGAAAATGGTTTTACAGTTGAGGAAACTGAACTTAAAAAGTTTTAACTTTCTCAAAGGTGTATAGCTAATAAACAGTAGAGCCAGTATAAGATTCTACTACTTATATTTTTATCATCTATTCAAAAATGTATTTATAGAGATTCTTTTTAGGAGCTATAGCCTCCTGTGAAAGAGGAACCACTGAAGGAGGCTGAAAAGGATATTCAGGCCAGGCACGGTGGCTCGTGCCTGTAATCCTAGCACTTTGGGAGGCCTAGGCAGGAGGATTGCTTGAGGCCAGGAGTTTGAGACCAGCCTTAGCAAGAGCGAGACCCTGTCTCACTAGGCCTGGTGGCACATACCAAGCTACTCAGGAAGCTGAAGCAGGAGGATCTTTTGAGCCCAGGAGTTTGAGGTTGCTGTGAGCTATGATGACACCACTGCGCTCTACAGGGCTATAGAACAAGACTCCATGTCAAAAACAAACAAAAAACAATGAGAGGTTCAAAATATAGAAGAACTAGGAGAGTGAAGTGCCAAGGAAGCTAGAATAGTAAATGTTTCAAAAGGTTTGAATATTCTTTCTCTGAAAAGATCTCCCTTATCTTCTTGAAGCTCAGAACTTTTGGAGAGAGGCACCCAGAATGCTGCAAAAGAAAAGGGGTAATACCTAATGACCCAGATAGCCAAATCAATTTTGGCAATCCAGTTTTGTCATCCTGTCCACAACAGCATACCTCGTTTGCTTTTTTCTAAATACATAATTACTGTTAACACATTATTTATCATATAATATTCACTCTGAGTTACCATAATTGGTAAGATTATCAAGAACTTAATAGGTAATTTTAGAAAATCAGAAACACTGCATCAGTTATAAATGTCAGTTTAAAAAAACTCTCCTCAAATGTAAATAAATTTTCTTAAAATACAGAAACACAGTATTTTCCTTTTGTAATTCCCTTTTTTTAGAATGCCATGCTCTACTTTTTAATCAGTGAGATCCTGTTTATCTAAAAGGACTGACTTTCTTACACATTTTTTCCTTTATGACATCATCCTTTCCTCCTTTCTCTCCCCAAATCATAATAAAAATCGTTTGTTCAGGTTCATTGTCTCTTGCATCTGTTTCTGCTTTTAAGATACGGATTGTGTCCTAGGAATGCCTCAATCGGAATTTCTTTTGTGCCTGACATAAATGATTTTTTAAAAATATTGCTTGAATAAACAGATTAATAAATCCTGGACTTGTAGCCTGTGACTTAGTAATTGACCATATGGGAAAATGGGTTAGGAATCAAACACAAATAAGCAAAATGATAGTGTTAAGATTTAAGGGAAATTTATAAAATTTGCTTAAGAAAAATGTTTAAGAATTGAACCTATTATATATGAGTAGGTGCTGGTAAATAGGAGTCTTTTCTGTTCATTAAAACAACCATAGATATTCACAAATACTAAGGAAAACTATGATTTATAGAAAGTTTATAACATCACTACAGTAATTTTTGAAAGTAGTAAATTGTATTTTTAAAATATCATTGTTTCAGAATGGACTTCCATAGTGAGTTGAAGTTAGTAAGCTTAGGTTGTAATTTGAAAGCCAAGTGATGTTTTGATACTATAAGGATTAGAAAGTAAAAAGAAAAACTTGTGCTGCTATTTCTCGGTAAAAGGATTCCATCTTGTAATTTCATAGTAAGAATGTTTTCATGTACTTTCATTATTTTCAAGAATCATAATCTAATTCTAGATTACCGATATAGAAGTCCACAAAGAAAAATCAACTGATAGTGTGTTTTTTACAAAGGAAATTTGTATAAGGAATAAGTCAGGCAGCACTGGTTCTATGCCACTTCCACTGAAAATATCTTAATGGTACTGCCAGAGGGAAAATGCTTAAATATTCCTAATAGTAGCCAGTAAAATGAAATACATATAACCAGAGTTTGCAGTAGAGTAAGAGAAAGAAGTATGGGTAAAATATTTATATTTCTTTATGTTCAAAGGAATTTTTGTTACTTAACTGCTGGAACCAATTGAGGTCTAGCTTTCCTGTGTACAGGAAATATGACTTTGCATTGTGTTATTACTATGAAATTATATGATAAAAAGCCTTGATGGGTTATAAGAATTCTTTGAAGATTTCTTTTTAAAACATTTTGGTAGGTAGAAAACAAGGAAATAGACTTTTTTGCTTTTTTTTTGAGTCAGACTCTCGCTTTGTTGCCCAGGCTAGAGTGAGTACCATGGCGTCAGCCTAGCTCACAGCAACCTCAAACTTCTGGGCTCAAGCAATCGAGTAGCTGGGACTACGGGCATGCGCCACCATGCCCAGCTAATTTTGTTTTTCTATATATGGTAGTTGGCTAATTAATTTCTTTCTATTTATAGTAGAAACAACGTCTTGGTGTGGCTGGTTTCGAACTTCTGACCTGGAGCGATCCGCCTGAGGAAGCCAATCCTCGGCCTCCCAGAGTGCTAGGATTACAGGCGGGAGCCACCGCGCCCGGCCATACTTCTTTATATAGTTGGTTCTCCGTATCCAGAGATGAGTTCTGTATGCTCTGATGAGTTCTGCATCCGTGGATTTAACTGCGCATAAAAAATATTAAGGGAAGAAAACACAACAATCAATAATAACAATACAGGTTGGGCGGGGTGGCTCACATCTGTAATCCTAGCACTCTGGGAGGCCGAGGTGAGTGGATTGTTTGAGCTCTGGAGTTCGAGACCAGCCTGAGCAAGAGCGAGACCCCGTATCTACCAAAAATAGAAAGAAGTTAATTGGACAGCTAAAAAAAAATATACAGAAAAAATTAGCCGGGCGTGCTGGTGCATGCCTGTAGTCTCAGCTACTTGGGAGGCTGAGGCAGAAGGATCACTTGAGCCCAGGAGTTTGAGGTTGCTGTGAGCTAGGCTGATGCCATGGCACTCTAGCCTGGGCAACAAAGTGAGACTCTGTCTCAAAAATAATAATAATAATAATAATAATAATAATACAACAAAAAATACAAAGGAATAAAATAAAGCTATTTACATGGTTTTTACATCATATTAGGTATTTTAAGTAATCTAGAGGTGATTTAAAATATATAGGAGAATTGCATAGTATGTATGCAGATACCTTGCCATTTTATATAAGGGACTTGAGCATCCTTGGATTTTAGTATCCAGGAGGTTCTGGAACCAGGCCTCCATAATACCAAAGGAAAACTGTACTTGAAAACTATAACTGGAATCTTTTGCTGAATACATGTTAACTTTGACGTGCTACGGTAGTGGTCCCCAACCTTTTATGGCACCAGGGACCGGTTTCATGGAAGACAGTTTTTCTGCAGATGGGTGGTGGTTGGGAGGGATGGTTTCAGGAAGATTTAAGCATCTTACCTTTATTGATTTATTGTGCAGTCAGCATTCAAACCTCTACTAATGGTAATCTGTATTAGCAGCCGCTCCCTAGTGCTAGCACCACCGCCTCAGCTCCACTGCAGATCATCAGGCATTAGATTCTCATAAGAAGCACATAACCTAGATCCCTCACATGTGCAGTTTATAGTAGGGTTTACACTCCTATGAGAATCTAATACTGTTGCTGGTCTGACAGAAGGCGGAGCTCAGGCCGTGACACAAGCTATGGTGATCGGCTGTAAATAGAGATGAAGCTTCATGAAGTTTTGGTGGTTCACTCACTGCTTACCTCCCGCTGTGTGGCACAGTTCCTAAGAGGCCACAGACTGGTACCAGTCTACAGCCTGAGTGTTGGGTACCACAGTGCTAAGATTATTGTAGTGCTCATTATATTTTCTTGTCTTTTTTTCTTTAGGAATATGGTGTTGGCTGAAAGATGTGTATTGCTTAGTGCTGAAATTTTAAAAAGCCAAAGCAAATATTCAGAGGCGGCAGCTCTTCTAATACGGTTGACCAGTGAGGTACTGAAACTGTATAGTATTTACTATAATTAGCATTATTCATTTTTTTAAAAAGATGTTTCTTTTTTCTTGAGAGGGTATACAAAACATAAAACTAGGGGGAAGTGTCTTTGGGTATTTACAGCATGGCTATTTTAGTTTTTTGTTGAACTAATTTTAACTGTAATTATTTACAAATTAAATTGATTTTATTTACATATTTAAGTCTGTATTTCATTTTTATTAACCACAAACATGTATCGTGCATCTTTTATGACTTACGTTCTGTCTTGTTTATAACATTATTTTTAAAAAATATTTGTTTGTTGTTCCCAATATAGAACACAGAATAATCACGGAGGAAATTTTAATCTATTTTCAGCTAGTATGAACTTTTAAAGAAAATCTTAAGCATTTAAAAAAACTATATTATGAATATTTCAAGAGGGAGCAAAAGTAATCCATTAATAGTTTCTGTTGAAGGTTTCACAACGGACATTATTGAGTTGCATTGACTACAGTCTTATGAAGAATGGTAGTAATTCCAAAAAAAAGGTAGTAATTCCTTTATAGGTGTGGTTAATAAGATGTTTTTTTAGATGAAGACTCAAGTACTCAACGATAACAAAAGAACAAAATCAAACAGCTCTTTTGTTTGCCCCTTAAGTGTTAAATTACCCTAGGGTTTAAATCTTTGGATCACAGCAGTTTTTCCTGTAGCCACCTTTGGAGTGATCTTGTTCACTGTCATGATTCTCTCAAATTTATTTCTAACCCTGAACTTTCCTGGGTCTTTTAGATTTATCTACTTGAATGTTTCCAAGCCATCTTAAGTTAACATTGATAAACTCAGAACATTTCTTACCTGATACATTTTGATCTTAAATTATGTTTTTACCAGCTGGCTCTTCATTGGCTCAAGGCAGAAACTGCTTGAGATACTCTTATATTCTCCTATCAGTAACACAACTGTGGGGGTGGGGGTGTGATTTTTTTTTCAACTTCTTAAATATATTTTCTCTTTTTGTCTCCAACTAGTTTACTTATCTCTCTTTAGTTTGTTGTTTAAAATTTTTTTAACTCCTCCTTCTACTCTTCTAGTTCACATCCTTAATATTTTTGGCCCTTTTCCTCTTGTTTCACTTTATTTATTAGTCCTGATATCAGTTGTGTACTTCAGATAGTTTTTCTCAATACCCCTTATCTCTGTTCTCTCCATATAATGCTGTAAAACCTGACTTGTCATATTATTTGCATTGGAAAATATGTTTAAGCCGTTAGCTACTTGAGGGCAGAAAACTGTAGCTTTCTGCATTTTTATCCCTAGTGCCTACCTAACACTGTACATGGCACATGGTAGATGCTCTACAATAATGTTTGGTGAGCTGTGAACCATTAATTCTTCTACAGTGGTTTCTGTAAGATCTAACTAGTTAAGTACAGGTGTGATATTTAAATGTTTAAAATTGTTATTGCATGGACGCTGACCAATTAATATGAAGAAGTGCCAGATATAAACTATTTGGTAGAGCTGAGTATAGGTTCTTGAGTGTTGCTGTTATCTATTATTATAAATAATCTTAACTTGGGTTTGAATGTGTTGCTGTGTTTTTCAACCTAAGGATTATCAGTGAGTTTAAAAATATTTGTGGTTCAGGAGCTTGAATAAAATTTCCTTTTTTTTTTTCCCCTTGCTTAAATGCTTATACTTGCCATTCTGTTCCCATACGTGCATAAAATTTCTTTAGAGCAAATTCTTCTGTCTACATTTTAACTTGTTTTTTTTTTTTTTTAATCATTCTTCCATCCTTTTCAAACCTTTGTTTTTACTTTTCTTTCTCAAATCTGAATGATTTATTTTGTCATGAAAGTTGAGACAGTGTATCATTGGCATTTACTGCCTTGGGGGTGGGAGGTAGGAGCATATGGTGGTGCATCTACCCAGAAATTGTGATTCTCAATTGCCTTTTCTGCTATCTTTTTCATCAATTTCTTCACGATAACTTGAAAGTAATGATTGCTAAGCATAATGTGTATAAAATTATGTTAAAACTTGATTTGCATTTATTACATGTATTTTGTTAAATGGAAAGGCATTATGATACAATGAAAAAGCACACTGGTCTTGAAGACAAAGAACTGAGTTACATACTCTTGACATTCATGAATTGTGTTTCCCAGATTTTTGTTTATACCATTATAGTCAAAAACAGTTATGAGGACCAAGGGAAAAGAGTTGTGCTTTGATTTTATTTATTTTGGGGACTGCACGTTTATGGTCAGGTGGCTCTTGTTTTATGCCCTGGGATTCTCAGAATGGCAGAGCAAACACTTAATGATAAAACGTCCTATTTATTACTACATAGGATATAACTGAATTTGGTGCTTAAAACATCTCCACTTGTGTCTTTTTCTGTGTTGAACACTTATTTTGGTCTTATAGCCTATTTTGTCTGTTACTGAATTTAAGTATGTTAAATAAGTTTCTAGGGATACTAATAATGGTGTTTTTTGTTTTTTTTTATAAATTTCTTCAGCTTGGGAGCAACTATTCCTGTGGGGAATTTATCAGCTGATAGCACCTTTCATATTAACTTCACAATTATGCAAGGAAGAAATGTTAAAATCTTAGAGTGATTTTTTGTTTGTTTGTTTGAAATTTGATTCGGTTAAGTAGCTGCAACTAGTGCCTTTCTCAACTATGTTTTTATTGAAGTATTCATTGAGGTCTCAACCTCAGGTTATTTTTTTTCCTATATATGTCCTCACATTTTTAAGTTATTGTTGCCTTTTCAGCTTTTGTTAAAATTATCTCTTGGTTGTAAGCAAAATTTTTATAGGCTGGAATTGTTGCTCAAGTGGTATCACACATTTTTTTTCTTAGTTCCTCATAGAACATATTTAACAGACTTGTTATATGATAGATATGAACTACTAATAAATTAAAATTTTATTCTCTAGTTCATTTAAAGCCTCTCCTTTCTGGATAAAACCATCACTTTTTAAAATCCTTTTCTTTCTCCTCCATCAACACTGATAACAGTTATCATTCTTTTCAGGGCTATTTTTTTCCCTCAAAGAAATGTTTTCCACTTTGGGTGTCACAACAAAAGACAGGGTCTAATGAATAAAGCTGCAGTGAGATAGGAATACAGGATATTTACCTCTAGAAACTGATACTTAGTCAACAGTTTGTTGCATGCAAGAGTCAAAATTTTGTTTCAGCTAAATTAATACATGCCGTGGATTTCCAGATCTGTCCAGAATTGGTCAGTGCTTGAGTGTTACTTTTAAAAATGCTAAGGGTTTATCGTGCTGGTTCTCAACTAGATTGTACATTAGAATCATTTACAAACCATCAAAGATATCCAGGGTATATTCTTAATTAGAAAGAATGTCCAGGATTGCTGCCCACCCAAATTTTGCAGTTTAATGGAACTTCTTAGGCAATTTAGGAATATATATATTTATGCTATGTGTGTGTACACACATGCATGCTAAGAATAAAGATAAAACATTTATAGGGCTTAAAAAACTGAGACTCTTTTGAGAAGCCTAAATGAAATTCTGAAATAGAAGAAATTGTTAGGGGGAATTACTAGTTCTAGATATTAAAATATAGGACTACAGACATTAAAACTATTTACAGTGATGAGAATAGATGGATTAATGGACTATAATGGGAATGTAAATATTACATATGATTAAGGTATTTAAAATCAGTGGAGAGAGCTAGGTTATTCACTAAATGGTATCGTGACATCTAACCAGCTGTTGGATTGAATTCCTACCTTCTTCATTACATGGTAATATATTATACCTTGATTAATAATAAGAAAACCAGTACAATGCAGATATGTATATATACATATACATACTTATGTATGTCTAGAAGAAAATTCTAAGAGAGCATTTTTAAAAATCTAGGAATAATATCCTTTCTTAGTTTAATGTGAAATCTTGAAGCCGTAAAGTCAAAGATAGTATGCTTGACTGCAAGAGAATAAACTCTTTCATTTCAAAACTTGGAAGCACTATTTGCAAAATGTATGACAAAGGACTAATATTATGTATACAAAGGGCTCTTACAAACCAGAAAATCACAGAAAACCATTCACAAAACAGGATAAACAGGCAATTTACAGGGAAAGTATAGAAGCCCCCTAAACCTATGAAAGATTAACAGCCTTACTATTAAAGAAGTGTATGTTAAGGGATAAGTTATCATTTTATTTTACTAGGTAAAAATTGAAGAAAAGATTTTTTGGCTGAGTAGAGTAGAACACATGTGCACTCTCATTCTCTGTTGATGAGAGTATAGGTACTACTTTTTTGTAACAGTTTGGTTATATTGATTAAAATTTGAAATAGTATATACATAGCTTTCATTAACTCAACAGTTCTACTTCCAGAAATTTGTCTAATAAAAATGTTTGAATAATTATTCTAAAATGTTTTTAGAAAGATACTATCAAAACATTTTATGTAGTAACAAAAATATGAAACAATATTTAATCAATTGGAGACTATGAATAAGTTATGGTAACATTATATTAACAGGGTATAATATAGCTTTAAAAGGAATGAGATATAGATGTCTTAGGTGTCTATGATGTTAAGTGAACAAAGCAAGATAGTATACCAACTTATGTATAAAAAATGTGTATTTTTAAAAATTCATGTGTATTAGGCATGTAAGCACACATACATACATGTGTACATATTAATATATGTGTGTATATGTGCGTGTATGTGTGTGTATGTGTATGGGGGGGGCAGGGGCAGAGGTAGAGAGAAGAGTAACCAACATACCAAGCTGGAAACAGTTGTTATGTTTGGGAAATGAAATCAAGCATGAGATGGGAAAGAAAGACATTATTCATTTTTTTCCTCAAATTAATTTTCTTTCACTTTTTTTTTTTTTTTTTTTTTGAGACAGAGTCTTGCTCTGTTGTCTGGGCTTTTGTGCAGTGGCATCATCATAGCTCACTGCAACCTCAAACTCCAGGGCTGAAGCGATCCTCCTGCCTTGGTCTCTGGACTAGCTGGGACTACAGGCGTGTACCATCATGCCCGTTTTTTTTTTGCTCAAGCTGGTCTGAAACATCTGGCCTCAAGCAATTCACCCATTTTGGCCTCCCAAAGTGCCAGTATTATAGGCGTGAGCCACAGTGTGGGGCTCTGTTTGTTTGTTTGTTTTTTAAAGAGTCTGTATTATTTAAATAATTTTTAAAAAGAAACATTTTTCTAAAAAATTTAGATTTCAGTTTCTTGAGCAAAAAGAATAAAAAAAATAATAATAATAAAAAATAAAAAAGTAAGCTCCAAGCTCTCCCAAATGATTCTAATGGAAAACTCTTGGTTAAGAACCACTCATCACTGATCATTTAGTTTTTGTCATGAGGGCTTTGAAATAGTTAATATAGCTGCCATTTACTGAATGCTTTCTAGATGGTTTCCTCAGATATGTTTGAGCTCCAGTATAATTTTGTGATTGCTACAGAGATAGCTTATAATAATCAGTGGTCTATGAACACTTTTTGATGTAACTATGATTTGTTGAAATTATTGCATTTAAAGTCAATGTTTTCTGTTTTCAACTTTCCCTGGGGAAAATAATGGCAGCAGAACACATGGAAGGGCATGGTAAGTTCAGCTTGAGAATAGTTGAAAACCTAGAGAAAGTTTTGGTGAAAATGTTGTTGATACTTAATCAGCAACCTTCAGTACTTTCTCAGTTATTTGAAAAGTGATGCCTCTTTCAGTTGTAAAGTTATCCTTATGGATGCTGATGTAAATGTAGTATATGGTTTTTGTAGATGCTGTGTTCTGAGGGTCAGTTGAAGTGAAAACTAATTTGCATTGTACTATTGCTAAAGTAATAATAACAGGTGAAAAGATTATTTTTGAAGGTGAGGCTTCTGAAATTTTTAATGAAAAGTGGTTGATTTGGTCGTCTTGAATTACAGCAAAAATTGAGGATTCCTTTAAATATAGTTAAATTTTACAGAGAATATAATAGTAGATTAGATTATATCATAATCTATGCACATTCTGTTTTTCTTTTTTTTTTTGATGGATGGAAACATGGATCAATTTCCAGAAGAAATTAAATTGGTGTAAATCTGTTTTTCTCTATGCCCTGTGTTTTCTGGTTTATCTTTAATCAGTATACCTGTATTAACAGTTTATGTACCTTTTTGCTATTTGAGAAGGGATTGCAGTTCTTCAGAAATTTGTTACATGGTACATACCATAACCAGATACTTGGTTTTTTTTGAAAGCAAAATATTTCATGGTAGAGGATTTTTAAGGCTTTTTAAAAAAAATTATTGTTTATTGGAAGAAAGAATCAAGATTGGTTTGCTCCTGATCTCTGCCCTCATATATTCTAAGTTAAACTTTGGATATGCTATATATTAAGAAAGTAAATATTTTTTCACTGTTTTTTTACTTTTAATTGTATAAAACTAACTTTTTTTTCTTTTAAACATTGATTAGGATTCTGATCTTCGAAGTGCACTTCTTTTGGAACAGGCAGCACATTGCTTTATAAACATGAAGAGTCCTATGGTTAGAAAATATGCATTTCATATGATACTGGCAGGCCATCGGTTTAGTAAAGCAGGTCAGGTGAGTGCATTTTCTTTACAATGAAAAGTTGTTATTTATTAATTTGTTTTATAAATGCATATCATTTATTTTTTATGATTTAAAATTAATCTTAAAAACTAAAATAAATTTTGTTCTGAGATAGTGTTATATTGGTAAAGGCATGAAGTTTGGATTCAGATAAATCTGGGTTTAAATCTGGATCTTCTACTCAACTTGGGCTTGGTCAAGTTACTTCTTTGAGTCACAGTTTTTTTATTTATAAAATTTGTAATTTTATCCAAATTTTTGTGAGATTCAACCAAATCATATGTGGAAGGGCCAGATACACTATATGCATTCAAGTAGGGATGAACTCTTCTCTACTTTAGCTCTGATCTTCTGTATCTCAGAATGCTTTGTAATGGTATTGCCTAAATATTTAATGTATAGAAATCTTGTGTTTCTTATCTCTGGAAGCAGTTGGGTTTCTGGGATCTTTATTGATTTAGAGAGATTTCTTCAGCCCTAGTTTTCCTTATAAGCAGTAGTTGGAGAGAGCTTTCCTTGCTGGAGGCTGCAAATAGCAGCAGGGAGGTGATTTACTAGGCATTTAAATAGAAATGTGGATTCAATAATCATCTCTGCATTTCAGAGACTATCCTAGGAGCTGAACATACACTCATAAAATTATTACGGTCTCAGGGAGTTTTTTATGTAGTAGGGGATTATGAGGATTTTTTTTAAATGTAGTTAATATGAATTTATATGAATATACATACATTTTTATAAGTCTTTGCTAACCAAAACATGCCATTGTTTTGTACCTTCTTTGTAACTATTTCAAAGGTACCTATTTCACCTTTGAAATAGGTACAAAGAAGTAAAGATGTTCAAGAATTAGCCTCAATTTCATGTAAAAATACCATAATTTTTTTAAAAACCAACATTACAAAATTGGGTTCCTCCCTCTATTATTGGAACTTGTGGAAAGTTAGAACATAAGTGGAATTGCTTTACATTAAAGAAAACCTTTAAAATACTTTTATAAAGTTAAATGTCTCTTATAATAATTGATATACTCCATGAATTAGAATTTCTCAGGCTCTAAAGTTGAAAAAATGTTAAAAACCAAAACTATTTTTTTTTTGTTTTGAGACGAGTCTCAGCTTTGTTGCCCGGCTAGAGTGAGTGCAGTGCGCGTCAGCCTGGCTCACAGCAACCTCAATCTGGCGGGTCAGCGGATCCTGACGTGCTCAGCCTCCCGAGTAGCTGACTACAGATGCTGGCCACCATGCCCGGCTAATTTTGTGGTATAGTATATTTTTAGTTGTCAATTTAATTTATTTCATTTTTTGGTAAGAGACGGGGTCTCGCTCAGCTGTGTTCGAACTCCTGGACCTTAGCATCCAGCCCGCTCGCCTCCCAAAGTGCTGATTACAGCGTGAGCCACCACGCGCGCCCTGTATTTTTAATTTTAATTTATGTTTAGCGTGATTATGGGGAGTACAATGTGTAAGGTGTACATATATTGCCCGCCCCCCTCCCCCTGAGTTAAGAGCTTCAGCGTGCTCCATCCCCAAATGTTGACATCTGTTACTTGTGGTTTGAATATGCCCATCCCTCCTCCCCCTCCCAGCTCCACACCACCCGATAATGTTACTCTAGTATGTCCACTTAGGTGTTGATCGCGTTAATACAATTTCGGTGCAGTACAGAGGGCGGGTGTTTTCCGTTCTTGAGATACTTCACTAGGTAGAATGGGTCGAGCGTGTATCCAGGAATTACGAAGAGGTGGCTATTCCCATGGGTGTTTCTTAAAGCGTGAGGTAGTATTCCGAGTGGGTAGGACAGGTATGTACCACAGTTTTATTAATCCAGACTCATGAAATGATGCATTGAGTTGTTGTCACAGCTTGCAATTGTGAATTGTGCTTGCTATAAACATTCTAGTGCAGTGTCTGTGTTTCATGAAGAGTGACTTTTGTCTTGGTGTGGGGTAGGATGCCAGTGAGTGAAGTGTGTGGGATTAGGAATGTAGGATGGGGGTCGTACCTGTGTAGCGGCTTTGGGGGTAGTCGTCCATATTGCTTCCACAGAGGTTGAGACTAGTGTGCAGTTCCCACCCCAAAAAAGGGCAGTGTAGGAGTGTCCTCTCGTCTGCGCAGTCCACGCAGCATTAGTTGTTGGACTTTTTGGATAAGCCATTTCGTTGACTGGAGTTAAGGATATCTCATTGTGTTTTGATTTGCTTTTCCCTGATGATGAGAGTGTGGAACATTTTTCATATGGTCTGGTTGTGCCTGTATTCGTGTTCATTTTGAGAAGTTGGTCGTGTTCAATGCTCTTGCTATTTTTGATGGGGTTGTTGATTGTTTCCTTGCTGATTCTGAGTCTAGATAGATTCTAGTATCAGTCCTTATTCAGATTGTGGTAGCTTGCAAAAATTGTTCTCCCATTCTGTGGTGTGCTGTTGCGTCTCTTGACGCTCTTTGCTGGCAGAAGTTTTTAATTTGATCAGTCCCAGTTTGTTTATTTTTGTTGCTGTTGTGAAGTGTGCCTTTGTCGTTGTCGTTCATGAATTTTGTGCGGTAGGCCAATGTCTAGAAGAGTATTTCAACATTTCCTCTTAGGATTCTAAGAGTTCACCTTTAAGTTCAAGTCTGTTACCAGCGTGAGTTGATTTTGTGAGAGGTGAAAGCTGTGGTCCTTATTTCAGTCTTCTACATTGAAGTTTCCCAGCACTATTTATTGAATAAGGATCTTTTCCCCAGTGTATGTTTTGTCTGTTTGTCAAGATTAGTTGGCTGTATGAAGATGGTTTTATATCAGGATTCTCTGTTCTGTTCCACTGGTCAATGTCTCCTGTTCTTGTGCCGAGTAAAAAGCTGGTTTTAATGACTATAGCCTTTGTAGAGTAGTGTTGAAGTCTGGTAAATTGATACCTCCTATTTTGTTTTTATTGACTAGGATTGATTTTGCTATTTTTTTCACAGCTTTTTTTCCATAGTAAGTGCAAGTGCATCTGAAACATGCTAGCCTACTGCTTATCTCTGCTTAAAAGTTTTCTATTCAAAAAATGGCAAAATGTAATAAGCATGAGGTTTCTTCAGCTTGAAAGAAAGCAGAATGGTCCATTGTCTCTTACTGAAAATAAGTCATCATTTTTTCACATCTTTGTCCACTTTTGTGCATGGTTTTATTTGTAAGAATGGTAATGTCATTGAATCTGGAAATAGCTGCTTATATTTAGCTTCCCAACTTGTAGGACATACTGCTTCTAGGAAATGCCTAACAAGTTAAAAATGCTACATTTGTGGTAGAGTGAGATACATTTGCTATCTGGCCTCATAATCATCTCTAACTGTAGTTACCCCTTGGAATTAATGATTCAAGGTAGCTGGGTTTGCTATTTCATCACCACTGTACATTCCAAACGCAGGAAAGCTCTTTCAAAAACAGTACAGTATGTGGAAACCTGAGAATATGACTAGAAATGCAGATCTGTCAGAAAGTCAATATAGTATATGTCCTATTGAAATTGGTCAAGAACAATATCTTCCTTGGAAGATAGAACACATACAATTCTGACTAAGGCTAAGTTGTTTCTGAAGAAGCATCAACTTTTCATGACATTTCCATTAAAATCAGGGGTGTGTTGGTAGGGATGAGAAAGGAGATTATATAGTAATGCCATTTCTCCTAGTTTTCTCTCTCATTGACAGTTCATGCTGAATTACTTCTCTTGCCCCAGAAATTTTTTATAGTTCAATTTTTTCCCATTAAGAATATCAGCAAGTGGCCAGGCGTGGTGGCTCACACCTGTAATCCTAGCACTCTGGGAGCCGTGGGGGGTGGATTGTTTGAGCTCAGGAGTTTGAGACCAGCCTGAGCAAGAGCGAGGCCCCGTCTCTACTAAAAATAGAAAGAAAATTAGCTGGACAACTAAAAAATATATAGAAAAAGTTAGCCGGGCATGGTGGTGCATGCCTGTAGTCCCAGCTACTCGGGAGGCTGAGGCAGCAGGATTGCTTGAGCCCAGGAGTTTAATGGTGCTGTGAGCTAGGCTGATGCCACGGCACTCTAGTCCGGGCAACAGAGTAAGACTCTGTCTCAAAAAAAGAAAAGAAAAGAAACGAATATCAGCAAGTAAAGAACATTTAAAAAGAGAACTGGCATGAAAGTTTAAAGTCAGTTTGAAAAAAAAATTAGGCAAGTTCTGGGGAAGGGTAATGTGATTGGACAACTTTTCTTTCTGTTCTTTATTTTTTTATATCATGCAACGATTGATTTTACGTGTCAAAAAGGCAGACTTTAAAACATTGTTACCTCTTTTAATCTCTAGATATTTCTCCAAAAAATGTCTTTAAAAATGCATTGAACTCAACACTTAGACACATTCAATTGTTTCTATATATCTGTCAGTTTTTAAGACTATATTCTTTTACTAAATGCTAAATAGAGATTAGGGGTTTTTTCCCCCAACAAATATCATTTAAAAATTATTTTGAAACTATCTCAGACTTCTAGAAAAGTTACAAGTACAGTTCAGAAATTTTTTGTTTCTGTTTTTATTTTTTTTCCCTAGCCAGTCAAATTTAGCAGTGGGGGCGGGGGATTGGAGACTAACTTTAGTGACAGTAATGTTAATAAGTTCTGATAACCCACTACCATCGGACCAGTGCAGAAATGTTTGTTTACCCAAGACATTTGAGATTTAAGTTGTTTTACTTGGTGCCCTCTTACATCCAAATACTTTAGGATATGTTTCCTATTTCCTAGAAACAAGAGCTTTTTCTTATATAACCGTAATACAGCCATCACAATCAAGAAATTGGCATTGATACAGTGCTACTGTGTAATCCTCGTACCCCATTCAGGTTTTGACAGTTGTCCCATAAATGTCCTTTATCGAAGGACATAGGATCCTTTGTCTCTTTTCAGTCAAAGAATCCTTTGACTTCGTGACTTCTGCACTTTTGAAGATTACAGGCCAATTATTTTTGTAGAGTGTCCCTCAAATTAAATTTCTCTGAAATTTTCCTCATGTTGAAATTCAAATTGGGTATCTTTGTAGGAATATCACAGAAGAGACAGTGTATACTCATTGTATGTTATCAAGTGGCAGAAATTATTTTGATTTGATTTCATTATCACTTAATCAAGAAAACATTTCTTTATAAAACAACCCACAAAGATAATTCTGACTATACCTAGTACAAAGTTTGTAACCTCTTCTTTGGAGGAGGGGAGTACAAGAGTATACTTTGAAGCATCATTTTAGTGGAGAAAAACATTTTTGGTACCAATTCCCATTTTTAAAAGATGGAAGTTGTCTGAGTTCAGAGGGTGGTAATGATACATAATTAATGCTGAATATCTACTCATGCTTGTGATAGGATGAAGCAGTGGACAAAAGAAAAGAATGCCAAAGTCTATCTAAACAGTTGTTTAGGCCGGGGGCGGTGGCTCATGCCTGTAATCCTAGCACTCTGGGAGGCCGAGGCGGGCGGATTGCTGGAGATCAGGAGTTCGAAATCAGCATGACCAAGAGCGAGATCCCGTCTCTACTATAAATAGAAATAAATTAATTGGCCAACTAATATATATATATATTATAATTTTTTCTATATATATAATATAGGGCATGGTGGTGCATGCCTCTAGTCCCAGCTACTCGGGAGGCTGAGGCAGAAGGATTGCTTGAGTCCAGGAGTTTGAGGTTGCTGTAAGCTAGGCTGACGCCACAGCATTCACTCTAGCCTGGGCAACAAAGTGAGACTCTGTCTCAAAAATAAATAAATAAATAAACAGTTGTTTAAAAATGTGTGTGTGTATTAATAAATAAAAATATATATAAATATATATAGACCATATACTCACATACACAGTTTTAGCACACACTGGGTATTTCCATTCAGCCCAATGCAGTGGTTATAAAGAGGGATGACCATAACCAAATTAGATTTCTTACGATAAATCTCAATTAAAAGTTAATAACCAAGCGTCAACTACAATCCATGACTCTGTATGTTGCTGCTCTGGAAACTCCCAAATGGTTTTTCCACAGGCATTATTTCTGATTTCTTGTACTTCTTGCCTTTGGACAAAGCAAGTTCTGGCTTGTTTCAGGACCTCTTGGTTTTTCGGCTGCAATTGCTGTTCACTTCTTTTGGGTTTTTCCTATCTGGTTAATTCTGGTTCTCATTTGAGATTTCTGGTATTGAAAACCAGCTTTCAACTTTGTAATTCTATTTCCTTTTTCTGAAATCATTTGATCCTTTTGATGGAACATCTTCTTCAGAATGTCCATGTCTTCCATTAGTTGGAGTAGTGATGGTTGAGTGGTTAGTACCTAGTGAGTCCAGAGCCAGATATGGAGAAAAGCTGTCTCTTAATTGTGATTGACTGAAATGTGGACCTTTTTCTCTGGGATGGATTTATTTATTTATATATTTATATATGTGTGTGTGTATACACACACACATATACATACATACACAGAAAGGGTTGCAGCCTGCAGGCTGGGAAGCAATAGCTTTGGGCAGAAGCTGAGAGCGTACTTCCTGGGATTTTATTTTAATTTAAAGATATGGGAACAGTCTTTTCTGGCTATTAAAATGGCTGCTACCCACTCTATTGTCTATTTTCTTGGTGACTGACATTTGATAACTGCTTTCGTGTTTTTTCTGCTTTTTTGGTTTTCTATAGGATGTACTTTTTTAGTGTATATGGTCAACATGACTTTCCTGTTTACTTCTTTTTGGTCATCTTTTCTGTCATACTACTGCTTGCACTACTACAAGAATGTGGTGGTCTGTATCTCTCTGTTTTTATAATTAATGTATAATAGATGTACCTATTTTCAGGATATATGACATAATTTAATACATTCGTATAGTTTGTAAAGGTCAAGTCAGAGTACTTGGGATATCCATCACCTTAAATATTTGTCTTTATGCTAGAACCATTTGAATTCTACTCTTCTACCTATTTTGAAATGTACAGTTTATTGTTGTAAAGTGTAGTCATCCTACTGATCTATCTAACACTAGGTCTTACTTCTATCAAACTGTGTATTTGTACCTATTAGTCAGCTTCTTTTCGTTGCTTCCCCACCCGCAGCCTATGGTAACCACCAGTCTACTCCCTATCTTTATGAGATTCACTTTTTTAGCTCCCACATATAAGTAAGAACATGTAATGTTTGTCTTTTTATTTACCCCTCTTGTATACTGGTGACATCGCCATAAATGTTGCAGTTTTATTGCAGTCCTTATGAGGTTTTGGCATTACTTGTGATTTTCCATTTTGAATTTATTTCTTATATTTCATATTGGTTTTAATCTCTCACTGTTCTCAGTCCTGCAGTAAATGCACTGAACAACAGGAAATGCATCTTGACACTTGCAGACAGCACCTTAAAGAGGAAGCATGGTGACACCTGATGCCAGCAGGGAACTCTGCCATGTCATGACCTGGGGTGCTCACTGTGGTGCTGTCCTAGCCCACTGATTTATCTGAACTATGTGAGACATAACCACTTAGTGGTCACGACACTGGCCAGTGATATTTAGTGGGCAAGCAGCTTGGAGTCAGCATGGCTGGGCCAATATGTGAATTTTAATATAGAAAAATAGAGTTGACTTATATAATTTATCATGTACTGTACTTTGTTACATATAACATGTGACCACATAAATTCAACATAAGTCTTTGAATGTATTTGAGAGAAAAAAGTTGACAGAAGTGTTTATTGTTTTACTTGATTGGAAAAAATTATTTGAAAACATAGCATTCTTCTAGTTAAAGTGTGAGAATATTTTTTTCATTAGCAAAATCTGCTTATTTTAGATGTTGAAAATTCTTTGTTTATATTTACCCTGCCTTTTTCCAGAAAGAATTTGAGGTATATAAAGCCACATTGAGAGGTGAGCCTCTGAGGTTGATGTTTTTAAGATGCTACTTAGAGAAATAGGGGGAGATGTCCAGTCTGGGCTCTCTTTCCCTTCCTTCACATTCTCTACTCTTCTCCACTGTAAATACACACACACACACACACACACACACACACTTTGGATAGCTCAGGAAACTTAATCTGTAAAATATTCCATTTATAATTCATAAAGGTTAGTTTCACTTTCCTCATCATCCAAGTCTCTGTCAGAGGAGGAACCAGCTACTTGATTTGTATATGTGTATATTTGTTTTTTCTAGTCCAGGTAAAATTTGGATTATAATACTTTGTTTTATTTCTTTTCTTACAGAAAAAGCATGCGTTACGTTGCTATTGTCAAGCCATGCAGGTTTACAAAGGAAAAGGCTGGTCTCTTGCAGAAGATCACATTAACTTCACTATTGGGCGCCAGTCCTATACTCTCAGGCAACTGGACAACGCTGTTTCTGCTTTTAGGCATATTTTAATCAATGAAAGTAAACAATCTGCTGCTCAACAAGGGGCCTTCCTCAGAGAATATCTTTATGTTTACAAGGTGAACACTTATTTTCAGGGGTAAAAATTAAAATTGTATTTCAGCAAAAAGCATATTATCATCTTCTAGCAGTCTAATAAAATGGGTTTATTCGAATATATGTAACTATCTATCATAATAGCATTGTGGCAGGCCAAGGCAGTAGGATCACTTGAGGCCATGCGTTTGAGAGCAGCCTGAGCAACATAGTGAGATACTATTGCTACAAAAAATACAAAAATTAGCCGGGCATGGTGGCATGTGCCTGTAGTACAGCGCTACTCAGGAGGCTGAGGTGGGACAATTACTTGAGCCCTGGAGTTTGAGGTTGCATTGAGCTATGATGACGCCACTGCACTTCAGCCTGGGCGAAAGAGTGAGACTCTGTCTCTTTAATATTTCAATAAACATTTGATTTGTGGCTATTCTTGGAATCTTAAAAAAAAAAATGCTGCAAGTTTTCTGGACTGTTTCTTTATCATATTTTTACAGGATCACAGCCAATTTTATAATTTGTTTTAAGTGGGTCCTCTTAACATCCTTTGGAGACCTACATTCTTTTCCTTATAAGAGATGAAAGAATATTTCACTGAGGTAGGAGGATAGAAAATATAAAGCATTGTTTTATGGAAAATATGGGAAGTTGTAATTTTTTTCCCAAGGCCTGTGAATATTGAATATTATATCATGTAGAATATAATTGTCCTTCTAGACTTTATTAATTTAAAATTATATGAGTTAGAATTTTGGCAGATAGTATGCTGTAGTGAGTCACAGGAAGTAAAGTATATACCACAATAACATTTAGAAGTTTAACATGTAGAGAACTAGTTAGCTGAGTACCTTAGGAAGATTCTCTTGAGGTACAGAATAAGTGATATCTAAAGTTTTTCTCAGTTATAAAATTTTATGATTTTATTTATATGTATTAAAACTAGTAATTATGTATCTTAATATTCTTGCTTAACACGTTTTTAATACCTTGTGTTTTTAAAAATGAGGAAGCATATATGAAGAAAATATGGTTTTCTCAAAAATTATTATTATTTTTTTCTTTTACATTTCTCCCAGAATGTAAGTCAGCTCTCACCAGATGGTCCTTTACCACAGCTTCCTTTACCATATATTAACAGTTCAGCAACACGGGTTTTCTTTGGCCATGACAGACGACCAGCAGATGGTTAGTAAAAAGTTTTATTTGTCCTAGTTACCTAATTTTTTTTTTTTTTTTTAGTTTTTTTCCGTCCATTTAAAAAATGATGTATAGTTTAATATTTGAAAATAAGTGTATACCACTTCACCTATTGTCCTGCCACCAATACTTTAGTGTTGTTCCTTTTAGCCTTAAAAACTTAAAACAGTAAAAACAAAACAGTTGTAATTACAGCAGCTGCTCTCACATAAAAAATGCTCATGGTATTACATAATCTTGACAAACATTTTTAATGTTTGTAAGACATTCCAGGCAATGCATATAAAATACTTTAACATTTACTTATTATATAGGTAGATTGTTTCCATCTTTTTGTTTATATAAAATAATATTGTGATGGGCATCTTTGTGAATAAAACTTTTTATTATGGAAATTTTCAAACATAGAAGTGGAGAATGGTTACCAATGTTCTGCTATTCTTGTTGTAAGACTTTTTAAAAATCTAGGATTCTTTTCTTAGGTTTGAGCCCTAGAATGGCAGGAACTGGACCAAAAGTATAAATATATTAAGGTTCTTGATGCATGTTAAAAGTAAACTGTGTAATTGTAAACATTCTTATATTTGAGCTTAATCAGTATGTTTCTCTTTAGTGTTAAAAAATATTTACCATGTTTATAGCAACATTCTTTTTAATAGCAAAAAAGTAAAACAGCTAAAATTCCTAATACAGAATGAATAAATATATTCACATAATTGGCATATCCACATAATGGATTCATGCTGCAGGACATGAGTGAATTGATTGTACATGTTCCACAACATGATGTTGAGTGAGGAAAGTCAGTTACAGTATAAATTTCAAACACACTACAAACCATTCTATTCATTGTTTATGTATATACTCGTGGTAAAATAAAAAATATGGGTGAAAATGTTACACTTCAACTTTGGGAATAGCTCTGAGAAGAAGTGTTGCCAGTGCGCATGAAGGAGAATAATAAGAATAGGGAGGGTTGCAGAGTGGACATAAGCTCTCTCTATAATTTTCATTTTATAAAAAATATTTGGGGTCATAGGATAAAATTTGACATTTGTTAAATTTTAGTATACAAATATTTTTTAGTCTCCCTGCCTTTTCTATATGTTTGAAATATCTTACATAAAAATTGTATAATGTCTTCAATCTTGGGCTAAAAAAATAAAATAAAGATGTGGAAGCTAGGGAAAATGCATTCTTTCAGAGTCAGGAGGAAAAGAACATCAATATTACAAGCAAAATTTCAGTTAAGCTAGGATACTTTTCACTCAGAGAATTGGAAGTAGGCAGGAGTGAATATGTATACATTTAGATACCTTAGATCTTTATGTAAAATACGTTTATTTGAGGGCACGTGTTCATAAACGTGTATTTAATTGTGATAATTTTTCTTTAGGTGAAAAGCAAGCAGCTACTCATGTTAGTCTTGATCAAGAATATGATTCTGAATCCTCTCAACAGTGGCGAGAACTTGAGGAACAAGTTGTGGCTGTGGTTAACAAAGGAATAATTCCATCTAATTTTCATCCCACACAATACTGTTTGAACAGTTACTCAGATAACTCAAGATTTCCACTTGCAGTTGTAGAAGGTGATATACTTGAATTTTTACCTATGTTTTTTTGCTTACTTCTTTTACTTACAGCACATTCAAGGTAATTTACCGTATGCCACACATTACTGGAGGCTGGGGATACAAAAATAAATTAAGAACTCATTATTTATTGAGCTACATTTATAAAACCAAGCAATGGGGGCTCTGATACAGACATATGCAGTGTAATGTTGGAATATAGAAGAGGAAATAACATTCTCTAGTACAGAGAAATTGGGGAAGTTCTCTAGATGAGCTAATTTTTAAACAGAATTCTGAGTAAGTGGACATTCATAGGGTGACAAAGTGTAGTCTCAGCAGAAATGTAGAGCTATGAATATAAGTCCTGTTTAGAAAATTGAAGCTTTGGATAAGGTATGAGGTTTATTAAAGTTATTAATTTAGGCCTGTTTTTTATAGAACCAATTACAGTGGAAGTGGCTTTTAGAAACCCTCTGAAAGTTCCACTTTTGTTGACTGATTTGTCATTGCTTTGGAAGTTTCAACCTAAAGATTTCAGTGGAAAGGATAATGAAGAAGTTAAAGAACTAGTAAGTTATTAAAAGGTATTTGTAATCATGTTTCAGTATAACAGATGTACTAATAAAATATAAACTTTTGTGCAGTGAGCTATACTTAACTCTTTTTTGGCTTATTTTTTCTTATTTATGATAAAAATCATGGTATGTGCTTATTGTTAAAGAACTGAAAATACAGAAAAACATAAAGAATAAGAGTAAAACCGTCTGTTTTCTCAATATTTAGAAATAACCACTTAAACATTTTTCTGTGTGTCTTTCTAATTATTTTATGTTTTTCCCTCATACTGTATGTTGTTTTTTCCATTCTTTGTTGTTTTATACGTATATTATTATGTTAAAATATCTTAATATTTTGTATTTACATAATATTCCATCATGTGGATGATTCATAAGCTATTCTATCATTGATAGTTGTTTTGGAGGTTTCCATTATTTACTATCATGTTAATTTTGTGGTGAATATTTTTTGGCAAAGCTTTTTATCCTTCGGATTATTTCTGTAGGAAAGATTCCTAGCATGAAGTGAGATGACTTTAGGGAATAAGTATTTCGGTGTTCTCTTGGTTTCACAAAAGGCTGTACCATCCAACTCTTTATCTGCAGCATATGAGAGTGGATATCTTATCTTTGCAAATTAAGAAGTATTATTTACAAAAAAGATTTTTGATTTACTAGGTAAAAAATGCCATCTTACTATTTTATTTTCCATTTCATTAGTTGCTAGTGAAGTTGAAGCTGTTGTTTCCTCTTTTGAGAATTATCTATTCACAACCTTCATATATATTTATCTTCTTGTTTCCTTATCTATAATAAGCCCTTTATTTATAATATTTAAGGTAGTTATTTTTGAAACAGAAGTAATCTGAATAAATAATTTTGTTGCCCAGTTGATTGTAAGAGAAAAAACTGCGATAAACACATTTTTACCTTCTAATTTATTATTCACCGGTATCTATTATGTAACTTCTACTTTTTTAATACTATCTTGCTAAAAGCTTTAATAATGTGCTAAGAAATTATTTTGGAGCAAAGAAATACCCCAACATTTTGGTGCTGACGTCTTTGGTTTTTTTAAAGATTGCCTTATTTAAAATCTTGCTTATTACATTCATTGAAGACATTCTGTAATTATTTATATTTATTGTTAATAGTTTGCATGATTGAGATTTCCCAGGCTCTATTCTAACTTAAATTTTGGCAACCTCTGCAGTTTTTCTAATATCTTTTGGATACCTGGAATGCAGATTAGAAGAGTATGAACTGTTAAACTTGGAAAAGGTTTTTTAAAAGACTTATTAGCCTTTTAAGTGTATTATTAGTGTGTTCAATATACTAGATTTTTTAAGGAGGTTTAAAGTTAAGTGAATTTTTTGCATTGTATATAATGAGGTAATTTTTTTTAAATGAATAGTTGTACTTTTTTCTATAAATTTCAAACTCTGGAATTCTCTGTGAGCTTCTACTGGTGATGGACTAAGAAGCCGAACTAAAATTTAGGGGATGTAATTTTTATTTCTTGTGTCAATATAATTAATTTCATGGGTAAATGTAAAATAGTGTTTATGAGGAATAGGTTTACCTCTAGAATGAGCCAGTTAGCTCTTCATTGCTGCGTGACCAGAGAGTAGTCTCTTACAAATGTTACAAATGCTTTGGAGGGAACAGGCCATTTTTCCTTTCTCATACTCTTATTTTCTACCTGTCTTTTCTGCATCACACCTAGGCCACCGTTACCTTTTTTATGTGTAATTGGCTAGTTTGGAAAGAGACTAGTTGGAGCCAAAAATGGAGAAATGTGCTTTTATTGCAAGATTAAATTAAACGACCATTTTGGCCATTGTTGACTGTGAGCAGCTGAAGTTTTTCTTTCGGAATTTTATCCTCTTGGCAGCTGCATCTTTGAATAAATCACTTATTCTTCTTAGTTGAGTTGGACTGAACGAAATGAGAAAATACACTGTCTGCCACAGCCTGGCTGTACTTCAGGTGTGGAAATAAAATACTTAATGTTTAGCGCATAGTAAGAACCTAGTAAATGCTAGCTTTAATTAGTGTTATTGTTTTTAAATATTGGTATAGAAGAATATTAACAATCTGATATTTTATTCATAAGAATGTATATTTTATAAAATAATTTATTTTTAGGTTACAGGTGAACCTGAAATGATTGGAACTGAAGTTATTTCAGAATTCTTAATTAATAGTGAAGAATCAAAAGTGGTAATTGTTTTATCATTTTTCTGTCTTATGCCTTTCTAAAAGTAAGCTGAAAACAAATTGAAAAATCATCTTAATTTATCGTTTGTTTTATATTCTGGTTTTCTTAAGAACTAAAATTTGAAAGGTTAGGAAACCCGAATTGCCCAGGAGGAAATTGGTGGGAAAAGTAGGTTTGCATTGGTCTTTGATTTGTTAACTTCCTAAGAAAACTGGTGAAAAGTTTTTGAAGTCAGTGTGTGATAATTTCACATGACATTTATTTGACCAAAATATTTTTATTTTTATTAAAAGTATTGTTGGCTAGGTACAGTGGCTCATGCCTGTAATCCTAGCACTTTGGGAGTCTGAGATGGGAGTATTGTGTGCGGCCAAGACTTTAAGACCAGCCTGGGCTGAGACCCCTGTCACTACAGAAAAATTTTAAAAATTTAGCTGAGCATAGCGGCACATACCTGTAGTCCCAGCTACTCAAGAGGCTGAGGCAGGAGGATTGCTTGAGCCCAGGAGTTTGAGGTTATGAGTTTAAGCTATGATGATGTCAAAGTATTGTTGAGGTTCCAGGCTTATAATTGTTGAATGTAGAGATTTTCTTTTGAAGAAGATGCTTTTCAATAAGAAAAAGTAGCTGGTTTAGGTCATGAGTTTACATTTCTACAAGATTATAGAATTTAGATATTGTACTATTGAAGATACTATGAAAACATAATAAGAGTAACTTAAATATCTCCACAGGCAAGACTAAAGCTCTTTCCCCATCACATAGGGGAGCTGCATATTCTGGGAGTTGTTTATAATCTTGGCACTATTCAGGGCTCCATGACAGTAGATGGCATTGGTGCTCTTCCTGGATGTCACACAGGTAAAGCTATAGCATTGCTAAATAATTAGAAAACTAATTATTAAATCTTTCCATAGAATAAAATGAATGAAAATGAAGTCTTTTCTAAATAGGTTAAATGTACCTTTAGGTAAAGGCATTTAGTCATATGGAAGAATGACAGATTTAGATTATTTTAACCTCTGCCAAAGCATCAAAAATAAACAACTTTATTCCCTTCCATTGTATTTTCTTTTGATAATTCTTAGGCTCTACCTTATGTATTTTTCCAAATTTAGTAAATTCTAATGAAATAAATTCTATTGATTGAGATATCTACTACCAATGCAAAACCATCTTATTATATTCTGTTTTTTGAATATTTCTTTTTTATAAAACATAGAACAAATTAAAGACCAGTGTTTTCACATCATTGAATATTAAACATCTTAATTTCTGTCTTCTGGCCTGTAAAACAAAAGTAGTGTTTTAGTGTTAAGCTGATATTCTTGATGCCCTATATAGTGTGTTCTATAATTTGTTGAAGAATAAAACTATAAGACATATATATTTAACATAATTTACTTTAAAAAAACTCAGGGAACCATCAAGATTTAACATTTCCTTGTAATTGTTGTGTGTAGTTATTTGAGTTTAAGTTGACAAGATGTTAGGGAGGGAGTTTGCTATAAAAAACCTCCTAATTTAAATCCTTCATTTTAGTGGATATGTCTTATTTTCTGACAGATAATCTGAATACTAATTGACAAACATGAATTTAGCATTTACAAAAGCTGATTAATACTATTGGGAAATCTGGGACCACTTGTAATATTTATTGGTTCTTTTAACCTTCAATTTAATATTTCTGTTTGCCTGGGTATCTAGGATAATTCAGTATGAAATTTAAAAAATAAACAGAAGTGGAATGAATCCATAGGAATTAAAAGAATTATTTTAAAAAGTTGCACTGAAATTGAGTATGGTATTCTGCATTTTAGTACTATGTTTGTATTTCTTAGTTGACAAGTACAAGACAAGGTTTATGTATAAAGAAGCCTGCTAATTTATCGCATTTTTTTAAGCAAGAAAACTGGATGTCAAGAGCTTTTTGAAGCTCCTTTCTTTTCCCACTTACACATAACTAGAGTCTTTATGTAGTTCCACTAAGTTATGGTTGTCAATAAAATATAGCTAGCTTCATGTAATAAATATATGCATTAATATCATAATTTATGTTACTGTATGACATTAGTGGTAGGAGGCTCTAAATTATTAAAATATATCCCCTCTTGTAAGCAGAGTTTTCATGATGTTCTTATGTAGTTCATTATTGTGTAAAATGCTAATGGAGATTTGGGTCAAATGAAGTATGAGAAATGCTGCATTATATATCTAGTCTGGAACCATCACAGCAACTTTCAGCACATTAAAGGCTCTGAGTAGTCGTGCAGGAGAGATAGTTGTATACTATAGCTTTCTTATACACATACATGCACTGCATGGAAGCTTTGGGGAAAATACTCACATGATTATTAAATAAATTTTAAGAAAACTACCTATAATGTATTTTATTTTCTTTGTGCAGTCTCTTGAGAAGATGTAGTTATTTATATTCCATAAATATTTCCAATTAATGTATATATTTGAATATGAGTAAAAGTGAAAAGTTGACACATTTGTTGTTGTCAGTTATTTTTTCCTTTGAAAATAGATATCTCTTCTGATGGCCTAAATCAAATTATTGGGCCCAAGATAGCTATTCTGTCTGGCATTTTTAGTTAATAGGCATATGGCTAAATACAGGTTTCAAAGGACTTCCTATTGAGTGAAGTCCTTTTTGCAGAGTAAGTAAATATAAAACAAAATGGGAAACTAAGCAGTGTACCATAAGTGTTGATAAACATGGAATTAAAGTGTATTTAATTCTTCAATTAACCATGTCAATAAAAAATTGTCTAGAATTTTTCTAGAAATAATCTGAAACATAACAATATTCATATATTCATGTTGAATTGATGTAGTTAACATACCTTATTTTAGGGCACTGATTTTTTTTATTTTTTTTATTTCAGGAAAATATTCCTTGAGTATGTCAGTCCGAGGGAAACAGGATTTAGAAATTCAAGGTCCTCGACTAAACAACACAAAAGAAGAGAAAACATCTATTAAATATGGTCCTGATCGACGTTTAGATCCCATAATCACTGAAGAAATGCCACTGTTGGAGGTATTTCACTTTTTAAAATTTCATGGACTTGAATTTATCTACATGGCCAGATGATATTTAGAGTAAATTAATTTTAGATTTCGAGTTGTGCTACTACATTGAATGATACTTCTAAATTATTATTAAGCTAGGGTTAAATAGATCTAATTTACAAAAGTAAGACAATCATGAGAGTGGCATTAAGTCACAGTCAGGTTGTGAAACACTAATGGAAATTGGGAAAATACTTCCAAAGAACACTTCGGTTATTATTAAAATCAATGGCTCTTTTTTGTAATTTATAAAAATAATATGCAAATGAATGCTTGCAAAAATTTAAGCAATATAGAAGTATATGAATAAAAAGCAATAGTCCCTTCACCCTCTTCTTACCCTATTCTAATCTCATGCGATGTAAGTTAAAGGTCTTTTAGTTGTAAAAGATAGAAACTGATACCATGTAGCGTAACCAGAGAAAGAGAAAATGTATTATTTAGTTGAAGGACGGTGGACTATCTCATAGAAACTCACGTATTACAGAACATTATGTCTCAAAGAAGAGGAAGCTCCAGGGAATTTATGAGAAAATGTTTTTAAACCTCTAGAAAGCATTGCTTTTGAAATGACCGTACTCCAACAACTGCTATTCTTTGTGCCACTTCAAATTTCAAGTTTCTAGTAGAGAAATCTCGCTCACATTGGATCAAGTTTCTACTCAGAGGCAGGGCGATATTGTTTGTTTGTTTATTTATTTATTTTTAGCGTATTATGGGGGTACAAGTGTTAAGGTTATATATATTGCCCATGCCCCCCTCCCCCCTCAAGTAAGAGCTTCAAGCGTGTCCATTCCCCAGATGTTGCACATCTTACTCGTTGTGGTTGTATATACCCATCCCCTCCTACCCCCTCTCACCCTCCCAACACCCGATAAATGTTACTCCTATATGTCCACTTAGGTGTTGATCCGTTAATACCACTTTGCTGGTCAGTACATGTGGTGCTGGTTTTTCCATTCTTGAGATACTTCACTTAGTAGAATGGGTTCCAGCTGTATCCAGGAATATACAAGAGGTGCTATATCACCATTGTTTCTTAAAGCTGAGTAGTACTCCATGGTATACATATACCACATTTTATTAATCCACTCATGAAATGATGGGCATTTGGGTTGTTTCCACAGCTTTGCAATTGTGAATTGTGCTGCTATAAACATTCTAGTGCAGGTGTCTTTTTCATAAAGTGACTTTTGATCTTTTGGGTAGATGCCCAGTAGTGGAATTGCTGGATTAAATGGTAGATCTACTTGTATCGCTTTGAGGTATCTCCATATTGCTTCCACAGAGTGAACTAGTTGCAGTCCCCACCAGCAGCGTAGGAGTGTTCCTCTCTCTCCGCTCACGCCAGCATTTATTGTTTGGGGACTTTTTGATAAAGGCCATTCTACTGGAGTTAAGTGATTCTCATTGTGTTTTGATTTGCTTTTCCTGTGATTAGAGATGTTGAAATTTTCATATGTCTGTTGGCCATTATTCGTCTTCTTTGAGAAGTTCTGTTCATGTCTTTGCCTATTTTTGATAGGGTTGTTTGATTTTCTTGCTGATTTCCTGAGTTCTAAATGATTCTAGTTATCAGCCTTTATCAGAATGTGTAGCTTCAAAATTTTCTCCCATTCTGTGGGTTGTCTGTTTGCTCTCTTGACAGCTTCTTGGCTGCGCAGAACACTTTTAATTTGATCAGGTCCATTTGTTTATTTTTGTTGCTGTTGTGATTGCCTTTGGGTCTTCTTCATAAATTCTTTGCGTAGGCAATGTCTTAGAAGAATTTCCACATTTTCCTCTAGGATTCTAAAGTTTCACTCTTAAGTTCAAGTCTGTTACCCAGTGTGAGTTGATTTTTGTGAGAGGGAAAGCTGTGGGTCTTATTTCAGTCTCTACATGTGCTATCCAGTTTCCCAGCACTATTTATTGAATAAGGATTCTTTTCCCCAGTGTAGATGTTTGTCTGCTTTGTCAAAGATTAGCTGGCTTATGAAGATGGTTTATATCAGGTTCTCTGTTCTGTTCCACTGGTCAATGTCCCTGTTCTTGTGCCAGTAAAAAGCTGTCTAATACTATATTGTAGTTATAGTTTGAAGGTCTGGTAATATTGATACCTCCTGGTTTTGTTTATTGCCTAATTGATTTTTGCTTTACGGGTCTTCTCTGGGTTCCATACGAGGCGTAAGATTATTTTTCTATATTTCTGTGAAATGAGAATGGTATTTGATAGTGATTGCATACTCTGTAGCTACTTTGGGTAGTTAGACATTTAACACGTGTTGATTATGTCCGACCCATGAGCATGTTATTCTTCCATCTGTTTATGGTCCTCTGCTATATCCTTCTTCCAGTGTTTCATGGCTATCCCTGTAGAGGTCTTTACCTCCTTAGAAATATATTTCCAAGGTACTTTATTTCTTGTTGCTATTTTGAAGGGATTAGATCTTTGATTTGGTTCTCACTGTTGCTGTGGCGATTTGAATGCCTCTGATTCTGTGTTATTTGATTTTGTATCCTGGGACTTCCAAATTCATTATCAGATCAAGGGTCTCTTGGTTGAATCCTTGGATTTTCCTAGTAATAATATCATGTTATCAAGCAAGATGAGAGTTTGATCTCTTCTGCTCCATTTGGACCCCTTAATCCGCTTTCTTTCTGATTGGTATAGTGAGGACTTCCCAGCACTATGTTGAACAGAAGTGAGATAGTGGGCATCTTGTCTTATCCAGTTCTAAGTGGGAAATGCTTTTCACATATTTCCCCATTCAGTATGATATTGGCTGTGGTTTTGATCTATATGCTTGTATCATTTTTAGGTAAGCCTTCTATGCCATTTGTTGAGCGTTCTTATCATGAAAGGGTTTGAGTTTTGCAATGCTTTCCTTGTGTCCTATTGAGAGGATCATAGTTTTGTTTTTGCTTCTGTTTATATGGTGAATTTACATTTATAGATTTCCATATGTTGAACCATCCCTGCATCCCTGGATGCAGCCCACTTGGTTGTGATGAATTATTTTCTTGATAAGCACCTGGGATTCGATTGGCTAGAAATTGTTGAGAATTTTTGCATCTATTTCATAAGGATATTGGTCTGTAGTTTCTTTTTTTGTTGCATCCTTTCCTGGTTTTGGTATCAGGGTTATGTTCACTTCATAAAATGTGTTGGGAAGAATTCCATCCTTCTCGATGTGGAATAATTTCTGCAAGATAGGCACCAGTTCTTCTTTATAGGTGTGGTAAAATTTGAGTGTGAAACCATCTGGTCCAGGACTTTTCTTTTTAGGAAGGTTTTTATTGCAGTTTCAATTTCAGTACTTGATATTGGTCTGTTCAGGAATTCTATTTCTTCCTGGTTGAGCCTAGGGAGGCTGTGTGTTTCTAAGAAATTGTCCATTTCCTCCACATTTTCTAGTTTGTGTGCATAGATGTTTTTGTAGTATTCAGAAATTATATCTTGTATCTCTGTGGCATCAGTCGTGATTTCTCCTTTATTGTTCCTGATGGAGTTTATTAGAGATTTTTCTTTTCTGCTTTTTGTTAGTCTAGCCAATAGTGTGTCCATTTTGTTTATTTTTTCAAAGAACTAACTTTTTGTTTTATTAATCTTCCATATACTTTCCCTGTTGTCAATTTTGTTTAGTTCTGATTTGATCTTAATGATTTCACTTCTTCTGCTGGGTTTGGGGTTGGTCTATTTCCAGCTCTTTGAGATGATTCATTAGGTTGTCTATTTGTGTCTTTTCATCTTTTGGATATAGGCATTTATGGAAATAAACTTTTCTCTCAGGACTGCTTTAGCTGTATCCCACAGGTTTTGGTTACCTGTGTCACCTTTGTCATTTAGTTCAAAGAATCTTTTGATTTCCATCTTGATTTCCTCGTTTATGAAGTGATCATTCAGCAGAAGGTTGTTTAGTTTCCATGACTTCGTGTAGAAATGAGGACTCCTATTAGGATTGATTTCTACATTTATTCCATTGTGGTCTGAAATGATACATGGTATAATTTCTATTTTTTTAATTGTTTGAGATGTGCTTTGTGTCCTAGGATATGGTCAATCTTAAAGAATGACCCATGAGCTGATGAGAAGAATGTATATATATTCAGTGGTTTTCGGGTAGAATGTCAATCAGGCCCATTTGTTCTAGGGTTCTGTTTAAGTCCATTATTTCTTTGTTGATTTTCTGTTTGAAGGATCTGTCCTGTGCTGTCAGTGGTGTGTTAAAGTCTCCAACTATTATGGTGTTGTTGTTTATCCATTTGTTTAGATCCAGTAGAGTTTGATTTATGAATCTGGGTGCACCAAGGTTGGGTGCATATATATTTAGAATTGTTATGTCTTCTTGTTGAACTATACCCTTCACCATTATATAGTGACCTTCTTTGTCTTTTATTACTTTTGTTGATTTAAAAACTAAGTTATCTGTAATCAGCACCGCCACACCAGCTTTCTTTTGGGTTCTGTTTGCTTGAAATATCGTTCTCCATCCCTTTACCTTTAGTCTAATTGCATCCTTGCAGGTTAGATGTGTTTCCTGAAGGCAGCAGATATTTGGCTTGTGTTTTTTTATTCATTCGGCTGGCCTATGTCTCTTGAGTGGGGAGTTCAAGCCATTCACATTTATTGAGATAACTGATTGGTGGGGCAGATTTCTGTTCATTATGTTGGGTTGAACTTTGTTCCTTTGTTTTCTCTCTTAAGCCATTGTGGTATCTGGGCTTTGATCTTTAGCATTGAGAAGATTTATATTCATGGGTGTTTATTGTGCTGATCTGTGGGTAACACTGTTTTGAGTGCTTCTTGAAGGGCTGGTCTTGTCTTGGGGTCATAGGTTACCAGAAGGGAGAAGAAGCAACACTCAAGGGTTGGACAAGCTATTTGTAAGATATAATAGAGGAAAATTTCCCAGGCCTTGCTCAAAATCCGCATATATAAGTTCAAGAAGCTCAGAGGACCCTGGGAGATTAAAATGCAAAATTGTA